TCAGGGATACCCCTTTCTGTCAGTTAGCCCTGCAGGATCATGAACTGTTAGCTCCACTCCAAGCAGGAGCAAAAGTGCGTGTGTGCCTCTATGATCACATTGGGCCCCTCAGCCTAACTGCAGCAAAATCCTCCTTACAGGAGCAATGGCACCTTCGATGTTGAATGCCCTTTGCCTAGAGCACCTGAGTTCACTTTAGCACAGATGCTTCAAATAATCCTTTCCCATAAGGCTTCCTAATGCCGTTGTCTAAGTGGCTTACAAAGGAAAACAATCCAGATCAGAGTGAAAAACACCAGTTGACTAGTTCTCTTCAGAAGTAAACATCCCTTTTCTCATTAAACTGCAACTAAGTCCTTCTCTTGAGCATGCAAAAGATACCACACTTATTGAAGCAGGCACTGAAATACCATCCTTCTACCCCAAATTAAGCTATCAAGCCTTCTAAGTTCCCTTCAAATATCTACTTGTGTCCACTACACATCTCGCCTGAAGAAAGGGAGAAGACATCTCATTTAAACAGGCTCACTCATACTAAAATTAACCATGCAAGGATACAGCAGCACTTTTAATATTAATATATTACGACTTTTGTTGTTGTACATTCAACATAACTCATGAAAGATGGGGGGGAAACACTACCACCCCAGTGTTCGCCTTAAAAAAGGATGAGGTGTCTTAAAAAGTTGAAGTACTCCTGGAAGTATATATTCTACTTTTTTTTTTATCCTAAAGATAAGATATTTTGTCTTGTGATATACACTTGTATGAGTCTCAGAAAAACAGTTTCTGAAATTACTTTGATGGAATTGAGGGGAGGAAGGGAAATGCAGGTGGGAGTGAGCAGACAAAATTACTCCAGCTGATCCTTCTAATTTGCAATAGTCTGACAACTTTTCAAGCTTACTCCATTACAACAGTGAATAAACACAACAACTGGAAGAAAAATTGAGTTTCCAAACATCCATTTTTATTCCCGAATTTTCACAATCAGTCTTTTCTCCTGCCAGCAGTACAACTATAGTTTAAAAGGGGTCTGAACATAATACATTATATATTCTTCAAAAATCTACTAACATTCAACTGCATAAAGTTATGTTGTCTAAACCAATCAGCATGCCTTTTAAAAAACATTTATTTAAGCTGATACATGCTGTCCATAAGTACATATCCTTTTTTAAGCCTACGCAGAAATCAACTTTAGCAAAAATCATAATCCAAGGATATGTAATTTTAAGTGTTCACAATGAGTTAGTCCCCTACACAATACAGCATTTAAAAATTTGTCCTTAGTTAAACTTTTGAAACTTTGTGTACAGATTTAGTGTCAGGAATCTCTAGGAAAAAATGAACTTTTAACAAACAAAAGACAGGCAAACTAATTTCAGTTTTGGCACTGTATACACTCACTTTACTGTCAACTCTGTATCCCCTTTGAATCTCTAAGGCATGACTAACGCTTTTTCTACTGCCTAGCATAAGTGTAATGCTCAAAGTTAAGATTCAATGAAACTGTTCCTAGTACAGAATTACATGGAACATTCAGATATGCCAGTAAAGTCACTCAAGTCACAAGCTGTTCAATGTTTTCTGAAAAGCAGAAAACAGCATTAGATGCTAGATATACAGATAAATGTTTCACTGAAAACAAAAGCATTTTGGTTTTGTTTCAACAACGATCACTAATATTCCAAAAGGAAAATTTCCAGAAGCTGTCCCTCTTCTCAACCATTTTGTTGTAAAATGTGAAAGATACACATGATAACCTAATTTAATACTAGTTAATTACTGTTAGAAACTTATATGCCCTGCATATATACTGCATTTATACTGCAAACTGAAGTTTCATATAAGATTTTATAAAGGCCCACTTCAGCCAACACAATAGGCTCAAAGGTGACTCAAAGACCTTAAAGAAGGCAGAGGAGTGTGATACAGCTTTTGAAGACAGAAAATTAGGACAGAAGATAAGTGGTTCTACTCATCTTGTTTTCTTCCACTCCATCCAAAGAGTCAAGGGTGTTGAAAAAGCAGAAAAGGTGTCAAGTTAAAGGCAGGCAATTTCCCAAGCAAAAGGAAGGGAAAGCTAAAGGCTGACTTAGATAAATGTTCTCTCATATAGATTCTATTTCAGAGCTATAAATCATTGGAAAAAAGTTCAGATAAATTTTGTTTTCTTACCTATTTCTACGTAGTAAGATTTTGCGTTATTTAGTATTCCTTTGATTAGCATGAGCTTACAGATTCATTAAGTGTAGAACTGACAAAAGGCATGGGCACTTTACCCTCATTCACATGAATGTTATCACCAAATGGTACCAGCCATATTACAACTTCTTTTTTCTTCCATGTTTGGACTGCCCCATGTTTGGACTGCCTTACACATAAAGTCTTCCTAAGAGCTAGCAGCGAAGCAAGTGTTTGAGAACTTTCACAGCAACAAATTTAAGAGAATGTAAGCATTTCCTCCCTACATTACCAGCTTGAAAGCAAGTGTTTTGTGTTGTGGGTTTTTTTTTTTTTAAAGCATAAAAAAACCCTTTGGCATGCCTATACAAAATTCCAGAAGGAAACAGTTTTGAAATTTAGTTTACCTTCCACATTGATACTGAACAGAAGTTTTGTTTGTTTGTTGCTCTGAAAATCAAAAACATAATAAAAGAAATGTGAACAGATATATTCATTTGTTGGATCTCTAATTGCATCCTGGCTAGGAAACCATATTTAAGTAGCAGAATTCAACTACCAAGTTAGAGGTTATATTTAGAAAGGTTCTTCAAAGCTTGCTCATTATTTTAGCCTCCAATCTGAATTTGGAATAAGGTATGTTTATTATTCAGTGGTAAAACAATACAATTTTCCAATCATTAAAACTGTTCCTTATTTGGAAAGTTTGAAAATTTCTGAGGGGAAATGACAAAAGTCATACAGTGTAACAGAGCACAGATTTTCTAGGAAAGTAAGTTTGTAACTCAATCTACAGAGTAAAAAGCACTACTCAAAACAATGAAAAACTATGAAAATTAATAAAACTGAGGATCTAAAATTTTAATTAATTGAAAAAATCTTACATGCCTGTTGAGTATGATTTTCATTTGAAATATGTAAATTTGAAGAACGCCTTGTTTGCAAACGTGTATTGATTATTGATTTAAATTGTTGAATGCAAACAGAAGATACTGCTAAAGAAGTGGTTTCCTCTGCTTGTTTTCATGCTCTTACATGAACTCAAAGGGTCTGGAGAAGGTTCCCCGCTGATGACATCTCCTCAGATCACAATACTTTTTGCCAGAAGCCGCACCATCAATGAAACTACCACCATTGGCACCATGAGTAGCAGTGCCACTACCAGCAAGGAGCACACCATGGACAGCAACACTGGCACCACCATCAAAAGCTCTCTTCCCAGCCTTCCCCCACAAGCAGCTCAAGCAAGAGCTCCCCAGGGACCACAACCATTCCTAACCATGCCACAGATAAGCATATCAGCAGCAAGGGTACCACGAGCAAGCACCCCACTGGTGCAGCAGCCACCCCACTGGCATCACAAACAAGCACCCCACCAGCAACAGAAGCACCAGGAAGAGCCAAAGCAACCACATGAACTCTACCAGCACTGGTCCCACAGGCAGCTCCACCAGCATGAACTCAGCTACCACCAGCAAAAACCATATTGGTACTAGCAGCAGAAGCAACACCAAGAGCCCCACTGGCACAAAATGCGTCGGCAATAATCCGACCACGAACATCCATACAGGATCTGCCAGCATCCATAAGTGCCAGACTGACATCAGGACTCTCACTACCACGACCAGTGCTGGTGAGAACTTCACAGACCTTGGCAGCACCACCACGCACCCTGCCGGTGCCAAAATGAGAAGTCCCACTGCTGCCAGCCAACACCTCACCAGCAAAACCATTACCAAAAGCAAAGGCACCAACAACACAGCACAGAGAAAAGGTACAACAACTCTAATCTTATCTTTACAGTTCTGTCTTTGGTTGCACTTGGCTGTGAGCACAATGATTTTCCTTTTCTTAAAAAGGCTAAGGAATGACTTTTAGTAATGAGTGTAATTACTATGGAAACTCTTGAACATGCTGTCCTCCACGGATTTTATAGTGCAGTTACTTAATAACTAGACTGAAATATCAAGTTTCAGTTACATTCTTACTCTAGTTGCAGCTTTACGACTGCAAACATTAATTTAAATAAAACTAGTTTTTTTGTTTTGTTTTGTTTTGGTTTTTTTTAATTTAAAGAGAGAATTGTGACTTATTTGACCATAAACTGGCTAATATTTATCTTGGGATGTTCTTCCCAAATTCTTCAATACTGCAGCACATGTTACTCATTATGAATCATTATCTGCCAGAGTAGGGAAACCTTAAAACGTTCAAAATTTTGCCTTATTGGAAAACCACAGTCTTTTGCAAAGTTCACACGTCAACATCTGCTTTTCTTATTACTTTAGTGATATTTCCACAGATCTCAATCATTTCCAAAAACATGGTATTATTGTCACTTAGAACATAATGGTGAAAGTGAAACAACATCATGGTCTTGACTATGTATGAAACTTCTAAATACTTGTATTACTCTTTAAAATGGGATACAGGGACCATTTCGAGAAATTTTATCCCATGCTTTAACTTGTTACTCATTTTATACTTCAGAAAATGAAGATGCTAAAATCACTGATAAAGGGTTAACAGTAATGTGGTGTAGAGGTCGTTTACTTGAGACAGTGAAAAATTAATAAAATGTCTTTAAAATTTTAGGTATTTTTCCACAGATACTCACATACTCCTGGGTGGAAAAACTACAACTGTTCTGATTTAGGGAACAACTCAATTAAAAAATACTGTCACCAAAATTCAACAAATAAGCTATTTTCAGATTCTTGTTTGTTACAAAGTTGGTGTCCCTTTCTTATATACACTTGAGAATTTTGAAATTACATGTTTATTTCAGACAGGGAAGGTGAAAGATTCCTTACCGCCGAGCAATGTAGTAGAAAACAGGATTGCCAGCTTTTGATGTCCCAGCTTGGTAGAAAATATTTAATGTTTTCAGTGCTTTGAACTCCTCTTTTTCATGTACCTGATGCCTAAAAAGCAGTACATTGACATCAACTTTTCACAACTGCCTTTCCAAAAAAAAAAAAAAAAAAATTTAAAACAACCCCCAAACCCTCTTTATTTGCATTTTTAAACAAAAGTATTAAGTTCACAGTCTTGAACCTTTGTTAAATCACAAGTGTTACTGCCATCTCCGGCTCTCAATTTAATTTTTGAAGTTAAAATCTACTCAGAAACCTAAAAGGTATATATAGACCCAGCTTTTTAAACTGCCCTTCAAAACGAAAGCTGGAGTCTTAGTAACTACTTATGTTGCCTTACATGCTAAAGTCTAGAAACCCACAATGCGTGTCCCCCCTCCATGATAATCTCATTACCTTGTCATAAATTCTTCAAATTTGGAACTAGTGAGATTTAAACTGGACCAATGCGTATCTGCCACAGGTTTGTGCTCAGGAGGACCCAGATAGGCAAGAAGAGTAGCCATCTTGTCAAAAGGTCGTCTTCCAACAGCCTTGTGGTCCCTAGAAACAGCATATTACTTAAAAGAAAAGTCCTTCTTTGCTCAGCAATTCCTTTTTGTTTTTCCCCCACTACCCTTCCTTACCTTGAACAGGCTAGATTTTCTTTTTTAAAATTAAAAAAAAAAAAAGAAAAGTGTTCAATGAAGAAATAAGGGAAGTGTTTGTTACACATGGAACAATTTTTACAAAAGATAAGACAACTATACACTTGCACAAAAGGTTGGCAGTGAAGTGGGCAGCAAAGATGTTAGGCATGTTCCCAATAATGGCTGGTCAGTAAGACAAAAGTTTCCAAATGTAAGATTTTTCAGACACAATATTCTTCTCAGTAGTAATAACAAAAGCATCTGAAAGTATTTCCAAATATTCATTTCCCATCAGCAACTCCCTTCTTCATAATATTTCTGAAGTCTTACCTGTTGCTGGAAAGGTACTGGCCAATTTTTTCCTGATTGTTCCACAGCAACCGGTGCAAAGCAAGTACATTGCCATCACTGATGAAAGACAGGCTGTGATTGACAGTGTCGCTAGCTGGGCAATCAGATGCAATATCAAGGAAAAACCTAGAGTTCAAAACCAGTAATAACCATAAGCACGTAAGGGAAATCTGCCAAGTAGACTCAATGTAAATTAAAAGGCTGTAAGAACGTTCTCCGCTTACTCTTTACACACGACACAGACTCTTTGTGCAAGTTTCCAAAGGGCCTACCTTCGTGCTGCATCAAAATTGCTTTTTACAAAATCATTGAAAGGCCGCATATGTTCTTCTTTTGTAAACAGGACATGGTTGGCAATACTCTGAAGTATCTAAATAATAAAAAGATGGTAAAGACACATGAAGGTTTAATGTATTAACTGTTATGGTAGTCAGTGTAACTTCACTGTCAGAAATATTCATTTTAACTTGTTGCGAATCCTCAAGACAAAAAAAGGCCAACAAGCCAACTAATTCAAAATATGTTCAGTTTCAAAATATTTTCTTTCACATACTTTTAAATACTAGAAAATGACTTGCCTTATTTACGAACTATTCAAGTTTAGACCAGGAAAATAAATCATCTTTCAAAACCACCATTTATTAAATGTTAACTATTTCTTCTGGAAATTATACAGACATGTAAAAGCAATAGCTTATGCCTATTTAAAGAAAACTGTAATTTCTCAACATTTAAAATTGATAATATGCACAGGCCACAGAATTTGTACACCATCATTAAACCTTTTTTTAATTTTTACAGGAAGTAATAACAGGTGAGATTAAAGATAGGAAAAACCACTTCTTTAGTGCTAGTATGAAGTTAATCAATATCTGGCTGCCATTATTCTCACTGGGCTCAAAGTTACACTGGTTTCTTTGTTTGTTTTCAACTAAGGTTAGAAGTTCAAGTGAAGAGCCAGAAGGCATTGTTATCTTATACAGAATTTTGGCAAAGTGGTGTTTTTTTTTTTTCCATACAGACTGTTCCCCATACTTACATTGCTGTGAGCTATAACATTAACATCATGGTGCATAAACATAGTATGGAAACTGCACTTTAAATAAACATGACGGTTGCTACAAAAAACTACAAGTTTACCTAAATTTTCTCATACTAGTCAAAGAACAGAACTAAATCAGGTAGAACATATAACATGGCCAAATCAAAATATTTATTGATTCACCTTTGACATGAGTTTCAATCCCCTTTCAATTCTTGGTGGAGGCTTTTTATCTAAAATCCCTGCCTCGTAAGGGGAGACGATCGCAGGATTGATGAACCGAAGGAACATCGCACTTCCAACTGCTCCAATGCTGTTCTGAGGAAATCGCTGACTAACAACCTATGAAGTTGAGAATTATAAAGAATGTTTTTGCATTAAAGGGAAAGCAAGCTGAGAAAAGCCTTGTATGGTAATCCAACTTTAAGCACTCTTTCCATGCCAATCAAGCTCAATACATTTGAGTAGGACTCTCCTGCCTTGACAAGTCTTGCATCATAGGACAACCAGGAACGAGAGGGAAATGAGTAAGGGGCGAGGGGGCCATCAGACACTAGCTAGCTTTACTTCAGCTTTCGCACAAACCTTCTTGCTAGGGTGAAATTGCTACAATAGCTATTGGATGAAGATAAGGTGGTATATTTCACAGTTATAGACCACTTCTTTCCAGGACCCTGCCACTGATAGTGAAGCAGACAAATGCCGTATGTTCGTACTCAGGTGTGCACAGTCTTCCCATCAAATACAGGTAATTCTTTTTAAATGAGTGGGTCTTTTATTTGTGTATTTATAATTTCACTATTGATCACAACAGCCTCTCCAGCAGTAAGACTTATGCTGTAAAGTTTCAGGAGTAATTTTAAATTTGTGGGAAGGAGTTATCTGTAGAAATACTCTTCAGAACCATCCCATCTCAACAGATTTGCCAAAGGAGGAAAGACAGAATGAGCCAGAGCTGAGTGGCTGGTCTACTTCCCTGCCTATACATACACTGTCCAAAAATCACTTAGCAGGAATTTGCTAGAAGAACTACAGATTTAAAATATTGTTCTTTGCTATCTAGAAAAAAAAATATCTTTCTGAAAATGTTGTAAGAAAAAAAGAAATCTTTCTTTTTAGGAAATCAACTGTGTATTACTAAAAGGATAGTCTATTCTCTAGATATCTTTCATTTGACTTTGAAAAGTTAAAGATAAAGCTCCCTGACAAAAATAAAGTTCTTAAATATCCTACATGTGGTTCTATAAAGAGTCTATATCTGTATGTATGTTATCTTATGAGTAACAATGGTTAATCAAAACAAGTCAGATTCTACCTTTTCACAGAATAATATTAGCAAGCTTTGTATTTTAAGTTATATTGTTTAAAATAAATAAAAAACAAACAAACCCCATTTTACTAAAATAATTCAAAACATAACTAGTGCAATCTCAAATCACACTTCTTAAAACAGATAAAGCCATTAGTACATACATAATATATCAAGAATCACTTTGGTTCAGTACCAACTTCATTCAGTTACCTTGTGATGCAATTACTGATAGTATTTTCTTATAAAATACTAGTTTGCACACAGATTTTGCATTTAAACATGATTACTATTCTGCTCAGTTACAGGAAAAAATAAGGGAGTATTTAATAAAAATTTAAATTTTCATTCTGCCTCTGCTTTATTCATACTTTATATTTTGAGGTCACTGTCAAAGAAAAGGATAAGTCTTAACATTTAATGACACCACTCTCGCAATGTACATATCTCAACTCTTTAACACAGCAAGTTACTTGCAATGGGAAATCTGCTTTTCTCAGTAAACCAATACAAGTGCTAAATTTTATTGCTTAGTCACAAGGCAAACAAAAGAAAATATATCAGAAACAAGTCATATAAGCCTCTCTTCTGTTCAGTAACCCATATATATTAATTGTTCTTCTCCCAGGATGCAAGCTGAAGTCAAGTTATCAACCAGAGTGTTAAAACAACTAAACAGACTCAGATTTTCCCCCAAACCGAAGAAAACATTTTTCTTCCGCATTTTTTTTAATTTGAAGATGGTGGCAAGGGTAGAAGAATCAGAGTATTAAATACTAAGCAGTAGTGTTAAAAATGTCTTTTGTTTACTCAAATAGGCACACAGAGAATATTTTAAATATAACTTAATTCCAGTGTTAATTGAAATGAAAGCTATTTTGTGCCAGAATTAGTAGAATGATTTTACAGTGAGGTCAAATAGACTGAAGTGAAGATGTTTTGAACAAACAGCAAAAGATTTCTGTTGTGCTTTGAAAGAAATGGCTAATAAAAAGGTCTCCAAACTTACTGATTTTTTGTTTTCCTTTTTTTCTTTTACGGTAGCTTTATTCAGTAGAGAGTGGCAAGTTGCCTACAGAACAGAGATGAGCACAAACAAGTCACAGCACCAACTACATACAGCAACAAAAAACCAATGTTGACTTGTACATAAATTACACAGTAAAATGTAACAAACATAACCAACAGAAAATGAAATATATAAACTAAAGACTGATGATGGAGTTTTTATTCCACAATTTTATTACATCTTATTTACAAAGCACTAAATACAAAACAAGCAAATGTTGCGTTTCAATCATTTCTACTATTTCTGGCTAGATTAAAAGTCAAACCACATTAATGTGCTCATGATATACAATATTGGGCATTAAATGGTATATTCAGCTTTCAAATGTATTTCACCATCCCCAAATAATTTTAATAGTAAAAATAGTAAAGTGTTATACCTTTGAAACACATATTACTTTTAAAATAAATTTAGAGTTTTAAATCTTCCCAATGTTTCTCTGTGTGTCCTTCAATTTAGTTAGATCTGTGAATCATCATGGTTATTACTACTTTAATAGCTAAACACTGCCATAAAACACTCTGTGGAAAGAGGAAGAAAAAAGCCAGCGGGTCTACATTAATTTATTATAGATTTACAAATCAAGATATCTGACTTGATTGTGCTTATTTCTGCATTTCATTTAAAGGCAATGGGACCCACCAAGAAGCATCACATTCTCTCACATTTCCCATCAGGATTTCAGCAAAGCTGTAGTACATCAGCCTTGTGCGCTGCTCCCCTGTACAGAGGTAAATTTTGGTCTTGGAGCTCAATCCTACATCCTTCATATTAGCTGTAACAGTAAATTAGCATCCCTGAGAAGCCCTACAGCAAGCAACACCTGGAGCTGTATCGATAGAAAGCTAGCAATATTTAGCAGTTTGAGAGCAAGCATGCACCAACAGTTCAAATCATCTTTACAGTATCACACAAACTGGAACTGGAAGAGAATTTCTACAACTTAAGAATGTGACAGGGTAAAAAGCAAAAACAAAACAAAACAACACAACAGTAAAAGCTATTCTGCTAACCAAGCTAAAATTAAATAGTTCAAATTTGTGCAGGACTTGTTAATATTTAAACCAATGGTGCCTCTGCCAAATTTCTGACTTTGTGTAATTTCTACAGTTAGCTTCTGAAGCAGGCATATACATACTCTATGCATCAGGCTACTGCATTTAAAGGAAGTAAAATTTTCATCTCTCTTTATTAAGAAAAATCACGTGTTTGTGTGGTTTTTATTCAATAGCCAGCACAAATTCTTTGTATGAGTTACTTTGATCAGGCCTGTTTGTGACCACATAACACTCCTGAACATACATTACCTGAAAATGAGCAAGGGTGAATCTGTCACGATAACTAGTTATTTGATGTTTCCAGATGAAAACACTTACTAGGGCTCTGTTCTGGTAACAGAAACACCAGCCAGCATAGACCCCAATATCCAACTAAATACACCGTTTCCATAATGTTGCTACATTGATTAAAATTAGCTACAAATCATTTACAGAACACACCTGATGAGTACTTTTTGCACACACATTTACTTTAAAACTCTAAGCATAAAAAGACACTGCAGAATTCAGTCTCATTTACTATTACACTATTGCTTGGGATGAAACACATTCACCTTACAAAAAATGAAGTTACCTTATAAACACTACCTATTTGGTTCTTATGATAAAAGTGGGTTAATACCCCCAAAAATTCAGATTTTAATTGTACTTTCTTTCAGATAAAGGCCAGACTCTTCAGAACTCTCTGGAATTTGAAAGTACAGGATGAAATATTATACTATTTGTGATGAACAAACATTTGTATGCAAAAATAAGCGTTACTAGAAAGAGTTAAAATAGTAAACGTTGAAGCTGAGTATCAGTTAATACCACTTGTGTATTTGCCAGTAAATCATCTCTTTCAGGAACAAATTACCCTTGTTACCAAAAAAATGTAAAGGCAAGAATAAAGCCAATAGACTTGATATGCTTTCATGGAAGAATCTCTGGCACTGCCCGCTGGTGAGTACATTTAAGTTATTCCATTTCATGTAAGAATTAAAAATGGTTTGCATAGAAATAATTTCTAGCAATGTATCACTGAAATGGAAATGAATCTGATACATCCTCGTAACAGCATATAAAAGCAATTCTAGGAAGAGATGTGGGACAATGTAACGTCAAGTAACAGGAGCAACAATCAAGGCTGCGTGTGACATTTTCAGTAATACTCAACATCTGTGAGACTGTGGCAGAACATGTGAACTGGAAGGAAACCAACTTGCCCCCTCCCATTTCCCAATTTAAAAAACAAACAAACAAAAAAAACAAAACAAACCACCGCCCACCAACCTGAATACAACCACTGTCAGAAAGAGAAACTGATGACTTTAGAAGCCATTTTATACACGTGGTTATAGAAGAAATAAAGGCACATCATTTGCACGCCTAATTCATTCCAACAGCTCACAATAACAACCCAAGATCCACAACAGTCACAACATACAATTCACTGTTTCTCACTTCCAAGTTTTGAGAATTGCAGTAGTTGCACTTATTAATACAGCATTCACTGTAAAAATAGGACTAGACTACACTGCGTAGAATTTTTTATTACTCATAATTGGTTCGCACAGCTCAGAAAAAGCTATTTTCCTTGCTTTACTTTAGACCTGAGATACAGACTCCATGGTTGAAAGGCCAAAAATAGCTCGTCCAGACCACTTAACTGAGACTACAGCTCAAATATTCTGCCAGGCACAGCTCTTCTGTGACAGTCCTCCAACAGGACTGGAAATTGTATTTCCTACAAGCCCTGAGGGCAGCAGGAGCATCCCCCACTGGAATTTTTAGCAGCAGCTAAATCCATCAGAAACACACAAAGAGCAAGAGAGAGACCTATAAGCATACTGGGCTCAGCAACCTGCTGCTGAGCTGCTATAGAGAGCAGCAGAAACGGGACAGAGCAGAGGAGCTGGGGATGGAGGCCGGGGAATGCAGGTATGGGAGGCGGCCAGGAGGGTACCACTATAGAACTTACTCTACAGAGGACAGTGCACCACTCAGGAAGGTTTCTTCTCTTTAAGCATCATTTATAAACGATACCAGAAACAAGCAAGAAGAGGGTGGTCCCAGCTGGGTAACTTTCCAAGGTTTGTGTGACAGCACTAAAGTTTTAGCCACAAATAGAAGTCAGTCTCTGTAATTTGCCTCACTAAAAGAACTCTCTAAATACATTTATCTGTCTCTTCCATGTTCTCTTCCTCCTATTTACCTGCTGAACTGCTCAATACTCTGTGTTTGCAAAAAGCTTGGTCAGCCGCTTAATCAAAGTACATCAGCCCTCTGCATACAATAACATACTCCAGGTCTCTGACAGGCAAGAGTACCTCCATCAGAATGTGTTGCCCACAGCAGACAGAAGATATTTTACTTCATAGACCAAAATGTATTCCTGTTGTCATTCTACCTCTCAAATACAAGAACTATCATCCTCAAAAGTACAGAGCATCTGCAGCATCCCAGTTACAAGGCTAATGTTATTTACCAAATTATATGCCAGTGGACCTCCTTCCCGGTACAAGTTAATGGCTTTCCTTACCGTTCTCCACAGCAACCCAGAGATTCCTGCTTTCAGAACATGATTACGAGACATGGCACTGAGTGTGATCAGAATAAAGCCTGAATGATGCAGTGTCTTGACCTCACCCGCAAATGATCATCTTTAGGGAAGCAAATATAACCACAAACAATTCTCTACCAAATACAGCCAACAGCATTTTATATGTCTATTTCCTTCCATTATACTCAGCTTCAATCCACAGTTTCTAAAATTTAGGACTTCTAACTACAGTGGTCCCACTGAAGACCATTCAGGTTTTTTTCTTATGAGCATCTTACAACCTTTTTAACCTGCTTTTCTATCAAAGGCAGAAAGTATAAGATTGTGCCCACCTATAATGGACAACTAAATAATAATCCTGGAGCAATGACCTGAGTAATACATTTCATAGATAATTTTTGGAAAAATTTACTTCAGAGAAAAATGCTCTTGAAGAAATTGCCTCTATTTTTATGCAGAGAACAACTATCTAGAGTTAGTAACTGCACAAGTAGCTATTTTATTCACAAAGTTAAGGTTTATCAAAGCCGTGATCCATAAGACTTTTAGATAATTAACTTTATTTCTGATTTAATTGATCCTGTATAAAAAGTAAACAAGTACACTCTTTCTATATTCAAAACAGAGTTTTGCATTCTCTAAACGCAGCAGTGATTTTTTTTTTTATTTTCCTCTTTTGCTGCCTTCCCTATAGATGGCCCATATGATAAACCAATAAAAGCAAGTATAACCATTACCTCCCTAGTTAATCTTTAGCCTCCTACAGAGATGCTAAAGCAGAGATTATTGCTGCCTTATCAGGTCTGAGTTCTTAGCTGTGATTCAAGTCCTTAAAAAAACCAACATTTAGTCACCTCCTGATTGCCAACCCAAGTCTTAAAACACCATTCAGTCCCTATGTTTAGATTCCTGTTATTTAACAAACACCTGAAAACAGTCTTTAAGAAATGCCCACTGTGCACCCACTATTGGACCAAGCTCCAAACTGCTAGAATTATAAAAACAAAACCCAAAGTTTAGGGGCAGGCAACCATTGCAGGCATACCTGGTATAAACAATGGCACACACTGCGAAGTTGTGGTGGGAACTCCGAAGAAGAATTAATGATTGCATGAAAAAATTTTTCTGTCATTTGCAAAAGACTCCGCTGGTTCTCTTCAAGGCTTTCTGTAGGCTCCAGCCTGAAACAGACCCATAAATGTATGGCCAGCAATCAAATAAATTATACTAGCTGTACTTGTATGTTTGGTAGTAACCTTATTTCCCAGGGTAAATAGAAATCTTACAAAATATTTATGATCTTTTACATAAAAAGTTTCCATCAATATTTTAAACCATGTAAGTTACAAATGTAAGGTCATTTAAAACTCAGTAATAAACAGACAGCTGTAAGCGGGATTCTCTCACACCATTCCATACAAAGACATGCATACATAATTCCAACTGATAATTACATTATCAGTTTGACGGTTTCTCTGAAAGGAATTTTTGAGGTAGACACAGACATTTGAGAGTTAAACTATTAAAAAGAAGGCCTCTATTTTGGTGAGCTAATTAGAAGATGAATACTTAAAGTTTTTCTAAGAGTTAGAGATAATTCAAAGCACTAGAACAACAGCTACTAAATCCAAGTCTTGAAGTGATATAAGAGAAATTAAAGCAAAAAAAATTACACACAACATGCACGCATTCCATCTTGCTTCTGTAATTAATTCAATGACCTAAAGCAGATGCTTTCTGGTACTACTGGAAATCCCCACATTAGTGGCCTACATAAAAGTATGAAGTAGCAAGTAGGAGAAGAGGTCCTGCAAGAGCTCTCTATCTTCCTTACTCTCTCGGGGCTTAGAGGACATGCAGCAAAACTCATCTCGCTGTGTTGGACAGCTCTGTACAATTCTCCCTGGGTATAAGGATTGCGGATACAATTAATGTGTCTGGTAAAGTGAGGAGTGGAAAAGTATGAAAGTATGACAAAAATATTTGCAACAAGGAAAAAGGAATCCCATTATATTTACAATGACTGGGAATCATGTTTACAAATAAATACATTTGCTCCCCCCCTTGAATCTCAAACCTTGTTGGATCCACCTCAAAGCTAACATGCTGCCATTCAGAGGATGTGATCACAGTCCTTAATAAAGGTTCCAAAAGCTTCTGCAAATATGTAGCACCATATACCTGTGTAGAAAGAAAATCAGAATAGGTGGCCAGATTAACATGGCAATTCACAGCAGCACTCCAAAATTCTGTAAGTGTTAAAAGAAAAACAAAAGAAAACATTTGATTTCTTTTGGCATAAGCCAGATTTCTGTAAAATTGGTGTTTCTATATTATAGTCTCACTTCTGAAACATACCTGTGATCAATGTCTACAAGTATTTTGATTAATTTCCAATTTAGAGAAAACTGTAGGTCACTTTAATAACTACAATAACCAGATGGGATTCTTTCTTAAAAGCACAGTGACTCAACACCCCATTTCTGTTTGTATAGTATTACACAATTTAAACTGAAATGGAAGTATAAACAAGACATCAGAGTTTGTCCTCCCATCTTTAAATTTCCTGTTACAAGACGACCACCAGAACAGTCTTCAAGCTGGTACCAGCCCCAGAATCACTCATATAACTAAACTAGTCAGAAGTTTAAAGAGCCCTACTATGACTGAGGGTTATTTAGGAAAGGACTTTAAGATAACTAAAACTTTTACAAATATTTAGATGTTTGTATCAAATGAGTTACGTTGTCTAAATAACTACTAATTTCTGTTGAAATCTACAAATCTTGCAAACGTTTTTGTTACTGCGACAGTTTTCTTCTTTACAATGCAGAATATACAGACTAGGCAAGATGAAATATTTATTGCCATGGAAACTTTCAAGAGGACTAACTGTAAGCTTAAGCCTAACTGGTTGAGTCATGAACTCTTGCAAAAGGTTAGTTCCAGGAGGATTTGTATTTTTTAGTTGGGCCTGAGCATAAGAGATCTGAAAGAACTAGTTCATCAAATGTTAAAACATTAAAAGCAAAACTCCCTAAACTTAACAGATGTGAGAGCTGAGACTAACTTAAACTGAGACCCAAAGGCAACTCTGTACTATTTTCATCTAATCCAGTTACTCAAGTGCTTAACACCATAGACTGGTAGTTTCGTATTTTTAGATTAATAAACATTTCCTGTTAATGAAGTGATCTGTAGCAGAGAGAAAAGATTAGATAGTATACCTTAAAACAGAAAGTCATTATTTTACTGGCTAAGCTGTTTCCTCGGAAGAGTGTCTGCATGGAATCTGCTAGTTCAACTTCCTTTGAAAACATATTCCAGAGTAGCTGGTAGAGCAAGTGCCGGGAATCAAAGAGTGTGACCAGGACACGAGCTAGCTCATCCTTAAAAGAAGCAATGAAACATTAATCTGACTAGCAGTGAGCCAAAGCAAGTACGAAAAAAAGAATTATGAAAAAAACCACCAAGCAGTTTGTACTAATGCTTTAAATTTGCTATGGAGTCTTGCATGTAAATATCAAATTAAGCACATACAATCTCTGTTTACATCTTTCCTATGCTATTGCTTGTCTAAAAATCTGCCTCATGATATCCAGTCATACAAATTCATAATGGTTAGTCCAGATAGATAAGCAGTTATTCTGCTATATAACAAAGCCCAATTCATCTTGCTAAAATCTAAAGGAGCAAATACAGTTCTGTTTGTCTGCATTACAGCACACACAATCTGTAATAAATAACCAGCCCAGATACATTTATTACAATAACTGTATATAAAATTATTCCTAGATATTAACTAAAAATTTACTACAAAAATGCAGTTTATAATCAAGATCCCTGACAATCATATTCAGTACACTTTTCAAGAATATACTAGGAAAGGCTAGCTATCATGAACGGTAGGTCTAATCTCTCTTTAGCAGACTGTTGTTACACCCTTAATGTTTGCACTCATTTGTATTTCAAGTCTTAATATTTTCAAAAACGTAGGAAATAAAATGCATGAATCAACTTACCCACTGAGAACAAGGCACCACATTGGCTAAAGCCATAGCAATAGGAAGCTCCCCCTGATCACCCATCATTGTAACCAACTCCACCAATCTCTCAAACCGATCTGCTAGCACTGTTTCTGCTAACGTATCAAATTCTGTTCCCTGCTGCAGAATTTTGGTGAGGACTTCCATAAACGTAGCTCTTGTTTGGAGGTCTTTATGATAGCCCAAGCCTGATTAAAAAAACCCAGAACTACTAAGGAAGATGTAAAAATAAATTAAATACCAATGTCTTCATTATGTATTCATTTATGCACAGTTATCTCTAACTACTTTACCTATTGAGTGCATAAGACCACTGTCCACATTCGCATTGAGCAAATTTGACATAGCAAGAACAGTGCAGTGCCGTAGCGAAGCCAGTCTTCGAGACATTCCACGTTTCCTGCCACCTGTTTGTGCACTTTCATCTTCAACTTCACTACAGTCATTTAGAAGGTTCATAAACAGCGTGAAATATCTAAAGAAAAAGAAAAAGACTTGGATAAGTAAAACAGATTCTGCAAAGGCAACCATCTGAAAAGATTTTCATACAGTAGCAAATAGACAATAACCCTCCCAAAAAAACCTCGTAACTGCCCCAAGTAATCTTTCCTGTAGCATAGTCCGAACTTTCAAATGTGTTGTAGCAACCAGAAAGCACCGTCCTAAAATTTGTATGCAAATTTTCTCAGACCAAGCAAGTGTTCACAGGTGTGCCTTTACAAACAGATGTCTTGAAAGTGATTTTAAGTTTCATAGACAAAAATATAATATCAAAGCAAGCTAATCATTCCCATGAATTAAGCATACATCTGCATTAAGCAGAAACAAAGCCAAATTTTATAATTATTTTCTAAATGAAAATGTTTCCATAAACCTAGGAGGCAGACATTTGTGAAATGGGATATATAAGAGGTAATTTTCTCTTTGGATAATAACATTATTTCTGCTAGAAGAAAAACCATAGTTTGTAATAAAAGTCATATGGTGCATCTACTTAGAGTCATTGTATAGAAAAATAGTTAAAAGTCACTATTTACTTAAGAAATAACTGAGATTTTGCTTCCATCAGCTCAACGCCATCTCCTTCTTCAGGCTGTAGTGGAAGCCCAGCAAGAAGAGAGACCACTGCTTCCATACTCGCTTGGTCCAAATCTCTGAAAAATAAAGTTTTAAGAAGCTGTGAATCAGTTCAGCATAATTAGTCTCTCCTTCCCCTTGATAATTTTCCCATCCAGTACCACGTCCCTTTTCCTTATATATCTAACTGCAGGTGAAAAGCATCTTTAAAAAAAAGTTATTCTAGTAAAGTTCTGCCCATCAGGAAAAACCTATTACATTCTGTGGCACAGGTTCAAGCAATATATCTATTAAGGACAACAACTGCAAACCAAATTTGTCACCAAAAAAACAACAGTTAAGTATAAATTCAACACTATAACATTTGATGATTCTATTCTTCAGAATGCATATGAAGACATAGCTCTAGCAAATAAAATGTTCAATCCTAATGCTAAATCAGAAATGGTATTAAAAGGAATTAAATAAATTCAGTAGATTTAAAAAAAAAAAAAAACAACAAACCACCACACCTCAAGAGCCATGTTAGTTAAGACTACGCATTAAATACAATTCTGTTGTTGCTCACCAAAACTTAAGTTTCAATTTCTGTCTCTTCCTTAAAATTACTACCACTAAAGGAAGTCCACACGAGCCAGCTCATCTGTGGATATCAAATGCCACCTGGAACACGGTTAGCAACTTTAGCAACAGTTTAACAGTATTCTTTTTTACCTTGTCAAGCATTTCACATCCTCATCTGTTGCTTGATTAGATGTTCCCATAACCCAGTCTGTCAAATATTCCACCATTTTGTTCCTGTTACATATAGACATATTGCTTTAGCTTTGGTTTTCTGTTTTTTTTAACAATCCTTCCCCCAAACATACTTACCATTGTTGGCACCATTCTTAATTACTACAAATTCAGTGTAAGAGCTATTTGAACCACCACACACTGAAGATGAACTGAACTAATTTTATTATACCAAGTAATACTCCAGTCTGTATCACACACAAAATTTGTACATGTGTTTAGTACCCCCACAATCAAAATAAAATTTTAATGCAGCACCAGGCTCTAAATTATTCTGAAGGCAAAGATAGGAGTACTATCCCTTTACCAGGAATACTGGTATGAGACAGGTTTTGCTTTATTTTTTTAAACATGCAACCAAACAGAATTACACTTGTCCACATTACACTATCCTAGAAGTTATATAATGCAATACTTACCTAAATTTCATTTCTTGGCAAAAGGAAAGGTCATCTCTCCTCTCCATCATTACTTCTACTAACTGACACAGCTTAGTTTTTATTTGAATTGCATGTACCAAATTTCCAAGCACACGCACATACCTGAAGAAAAAAGCAAAAGGATTGATTAAATACTTCATACTACAAGGCCCATACCTCTGACAAATTTTTTCAGCTCCACGCTGGAACCTACACACTGGCTGACCCAGCGGACTTGCATAATGGGTTAGCAAGTGTTTGGGCTACCTTTTTTTATTTTCCATGTGAGCAAGCCAGCCCCTGCAGCAGCTGAAGACCAGCACCAAATTTCTTCTGTCCAAAGAAGTTTTCTATTAGTATAAAACTGAAATCTGCCCTTCAGCTGGCTTTTAACCACTAACACCACTGTACAGAAAAGAAACCAGGAATGCTTACAAGAATGGGGCTGAGCTATGGAATGGTTAGTTCTTTTAAAAAAAAGTCACCCTCCATCAGCGTACTTTATGCTACAGTATAAATGATCTCCATTATTACTGAAGTTGTCAGAACCATAAGGAGGAGGATCAGAAAGTCAGCTGCTTCTTCTCCATGGATGCAAGCAGAAAAGATATAAACTAGAAGGGTCTACCTCACTTCTTAAACATATTACTTTGTATAGGAAGGGTCAATAGGATTTCTTACCTAACCAGATTTAGCATCATTGTCTCAATACTAGCTTGTCCAAGATGTTCTGAGCTCCCTTCTGTATGATTGTCAAGCAAATTCTTCATTATAGCAATGGTTTGCTCTACAAATTGTGTGTTGGTCTCAGTTAACAAAACCTACAGGGAGAAAATTGGTGGTCTTAATTCTTTGAACACAAAACCAAAAAAACAGTATTTATCAACTATACTGCAGCATTTCAAAAATCTAATGGACAAGCATTTTTCTAGTATCACCTAGCCAAAAGAATTCCAATATATGTCAAGATTAAATATGTCAATACTACCAGCCATAAGGATTCTGAGAACATTCTCACAGATTCTGTACTCAGAGTTCACTAAGAATTCAAGAATGTTTTCAATTATTTCATGTTAAATATAGCCTGGAATCACAAATACAATAATTATTAATGCATGTTGTCAAATACAATCACAGTGCTTTCAGGTTTTTTGTACAAAACATGAACAGATATCCATTTCAATTACCTATGTGAAAGACAAGACAGACGCTTTTTATTAAGACACAAATGTGAAGGAATATATCAACACTTTACCTGTCCTTGAGAATCAAAAAATTTGCTGATGGTATTCTTCAGTTTGTTAAACAGCATTGGATAAAGTGCTGGACTCAACTCCAAACCCACCAGATCTTTAATATTAGTCCGTATCTGAAGTCCCACTTTCTCATGGTTACAGACCATCAGAGTCAATAATCGATCAATGAATTTGCTAACAGGAGTCTCTGCATTTCCCTCAGTGGACACCATAGATATCATGGAGCCCTTACGCTCATTGACAGGGCCCATAGGTGGACTGTAGGTTGCTAATCCTGCATTGCTACGATGCTGTAGGCACACTCCTCCAAGGGCACATAAGAACCCCGTCATGTTGATCCACTCCTGAAGAGAATCTGTGTCAGACAAGTCTATGGAGCCTCCCCCACTAACATGCGACATTCGTCTCTTAACAATTGTCTTATGAAGACTTTCAGTAACCTGAAAAAGAACAGCTAAAGATGAAATCTCTTCAATTAAACATAACTAATGGAGAGAGATCAGGATTTCAAAGTATTCCGTAACACATCCTGCCATTTACAATTCCAGTCTCAAGAATTTTCTAAGATTCACCTTTTATAGTTTATTGTGATAGTATGAACAGCAATCTATACAGAGGCACTGGTTTTAGAGAAGTTGAAAAAGCAAGGCCAAAAAGGTCTGAAGGGGGGTGCCTAGTCAATTCCCTGCTCTGCACCAGGATAAAGCATATTTAAATCATGAGAGCCAGCAGCTTGTTTAAAAACTTCCAGTGAAAGGGATTTCATAATTTCTCTAGTAGTATTCCAGAGTTTTCACTATTCTTTTTTCAATTTCTTTTTAATTTTTAAGCTCAGCCTCCATCTCCCTGACAGCAATTTAAGTCAAATTACTTCTTGGTCTCTTAGTAAGCATAGAGGACAACTGATTACCATTATTTTTCTGTAATACTTCCATGGAGCTTAAGTCTGCCTACAAAACTCTTTTTCTAGATTAAAATTCAATTCCTTAACATAAATAAGCTTAAATAGTTATTTTGCATTTCTAAGGATTGAACCTATGGAAAAATTCATAGTCACCTGCCCATCTTCCATTTTGGTCTTTGGATAGTTAAGGATTAGTTTTGTAGCTTGTTCCCATTTTGCATGTGTATCCTCCCAGGCCTAAAATAAGATATATAAAGATTTAACTTCAAAACTACTTGTAGCAACAGTATTTTCTGTTTTCAAAAAAATATGCATGCAAAGAGTATGTGAATTCAGAATAAAGTTTACCTCTGTGTTCCCTGCAGTTGGATGTTCAATGCGTCTTAGTAACGCCATCACTCTTTTCTGAAGAGCTGCTCTTCCTACAAGGAGCACAGAGCATTTAACCAAGTTTTTTGAAAACGCACCTACGTCAAATATGAGATCTTTGAAAGTAATTATTAAACTAACAGAGGAACGTATTCCCTTAAAGCGTTTAGAAAAGGATTCTTCTTGTTACACTTTAAAATCCTATGAACTCAATCACCCAAATTCTCTACTCTTTCTAGCAATTCCGATGATTCAGATATTTCAGTGAAAGCAGGAGAAGCAATCAAATCAAGAATCTCAACCTGTTTAAAGAACTCAAACACAAATAATAGTCTTATTATACAGGTAGAAAGGTATTTTACAGATTCATGATTCTTACCTGTTGACATCATATTGCTAACAGATGCAAACTCCATGAAAGTATTGTAGTTTGGCAAAAAATTATGCACTGAGACTTCATCTACTCCACATCTGATATCTGCTTCCTCACAGAGGTGACGGAAACAGGACATTGCAACAAGGACTGCCTCAATATCCGGGCTCCACAAAAACATGTATAAGGCGACTTCCAATTTTGTTTGGGCTTGGCGACAAATCGGTGTTCCGCTGCATCCTGCTGTACTTTCCTTGGGAAATAAAAATTCCGAATTTGGTAATATTGCTTATGAATATGGCAACTTTATTAGAATTCAGCCTTATCCAAATTGTTCTTTAAAACTGCTTTTATTCCAGTAGGAGTAAGCAATCCTAAACAAGATCAGAGCTCTTATATGCTGTTGCATGAACACAGTGGCTAAGAACCTGCTCCTTTCATAAGGATAACCATGTACTTAGGAAAATCTTATTGATACTGGAAAAGTGTACATTAAAAAACAAAATGAAAGTTTTGGCTCATAAAAGATGTTCTAAATATCCTCTTCATTTTTTTTCCTGCAGCTAGAACTAGTAGTAAAGCTAGGCTTGAGAAACTTGTCTGTCAAAGGGTGTACCTTACTAAAATGCTTGGTTTTACGATCCTTCACGGCACATTCAAACTGCATGCGATACTTTAAAAAGTGAGATTTCAGATTTATTAACAATAGATTAACGTGTAGGGATCCTATGTGCAATCCTAAAAAAAAATGTTCACCAACATTTTAACTTGAAAAAGGTGTGACTTTTTGAAGTCTGAAACATCATTATTAACCAACATTAGATACATACATTATGCAGGATACAGATGCCTTTTCCTCTTCAGAATTAATTAATTTTATTTTTTAAAATTACTCTCAAAGACATTTAATTTCTACTTGCACACAGGTTTTTCTCCCCAAGTGTTAAAAAGAATTATTATCATGTATTACTTACCATGGAAGAATTCCCTTTCCCTTTCCTGAGGGTAGCTCCTGGAGCACAGCGTATCATCTCTTCATGGTCAAGAGAAATTTGACTAGTTCCACCTCCAGAGACATCATAAAGGAAGAGAAAGTGGCAGGAACTCCTATCCGATTGCTATAAAGAGAGGCAAGAAAAATAATAAATCAACTTCTTTTTTAAAAAGGATAAAAAGGATAGATTTCAGGAAGGTTAAAAGCTCTTCAACATTTACACAGTACTTTTCACACTGGTGCTCTCAGGGCTTTATAAAGTTATCCACATTCATGGTATCTTAGAATGATGTTTCCCCTTAAGAAATTATCTGGAGAGTCATCTTCAAAAAACATCACCTTGAGGTAAGCACAAAATGATGCCTTTTCCTCCCTTTCTTGGAGCCCCCTGAAAGCCCTACAGGCTTCTTGGTTTTACTCCACAGAATACACACTAACATAAATGTAATTATAATTTAGATGTAATTAAGTCTAAAGAAGCCAAGCTCAGGAGTACTGTACATTTTATTCTATACATTTTATATTAGATCAGAAAAGCAGGAACTGATATTGTCAAGCAGAGCTCTAACAACAACTATTATCTTTTTCTGATCCTGATATTAATGAACATCCTCTAAGCACTAAGAGGATAGACATTTTTAAAAACAACTAATTACTTCTTAACTGGAAGGAGGATGATAATATTAAGCATACTCTCTATTTGAAGGACAGTTGATTTCCACTTAGAGGCCAAATGTAAAAGTCTTCCTGAATTCATAGAAAGTCAGAATGCCTAAGGTCTTCAGCTGCAATACGTGAGATTGTATTTTACAAATATATATTAAACTGGAGATACCAAAGGAAAAAGCCTACTACTCAGCATCAACACAGACAAACAGTAGTGTCCATCAGTAACAGAGCTACCAAAGTTGAAAAGAGAAGAAAAGAAAAAAGTCATTTAAAGGCAAAAATCCTCTTGCTGAAAGAGGACTTTTTAAGCATGCTATATACTACACATAAGATAGTATCCTCCTCACATTAGCACAGCTACTTTCAGGTCAGATAGAAAAAACAGAAACCCTTTATTTTTTCTAGTAGATCTTTAATTCAAAAAGTAATATAGCAAGTCTGGTTTTAATTCTAGCAAGTATAGCATTACAATGTGTGTTTGGCTTGGAAAAAGTCTCTTGAGATTATTGGAAAGAAGCAGGTCAGAATTCTAGGACTCACATGAACATGAGATCCAAAGAGAAATTTTTATTTCATCCATGAAGAAGTATATTTTATCATAACTAACTTTCCCTTTTCCTCACCTTGTGGACTATTTCCCTTTGTATTAGGCAAATAGGTATCAGGCACCAGGTTTCTGCAAAACACACATTTTCCAGGCAAGTAAGACAACCTGTGTAGCTAAAGTAAAAAAAAAAAAAAAAAAAAAAAAACCTAACTTCAGCTAACAATTCTAATCAAGGGTGCCTCACAAAGCACCGTCTCTCAGCAGAGAGGAAATCGGAAAACAGAAAGTGTAGGTGTAGCTATTAAATCTCTTCCAATCATAAAAATAACCTGGTGAATAAAGGGAGTGACAAAACAGAGCAATTCATTTTAATGATCCTAACAGATAGATGTTGACATTTACTTACTTTGTTTTTTAGAAGAAATTTATTCCTACAGATGAGAATCTCTCGCAGCCACTTGAGGATTTCTGTACTGCTGAGCATCTGATGACTAGTTAGTTTCTTGCAGATACAAAAAAGCATTTGTGAACTGCAGCAAAATGAAATTCAGCATTAGCTTTATAATCTAATAACAAAACTTTTGAAGATATTACTACATTTTACATAGAAATAGGCAATTAGCATGAATATCCTATACACATACTAACATCATCTTTTAAAATGTATAATAGATATAATATAGGTGTGTACTTTAAACACAAGCTCCCCTCTGACCCTTCCCACCGCCCAGCTGGCCTTTTTAGTTCCCTAGAGGAAGTTAAGCAATTTGGGTACTTGTTAGAAGTCCAGACTCCGGGGCTGTCGATTCAGAAGTCCTCCATTTATCCACAGAACAGATACAGCACAGACAGTGGCAGGGCGAGCTTACCTACTACCTACACTTCTGATAACGTGTCTCAACTCTGTTCTGGAAGGAACACATCTAGGGATGTTCCTTCTTCATATCCATTCAGGCCTCACACTCTCTGTTAAAACTGCCAAAGGGTCCAAATTAGTGTCAATTTTAATGGGTTTTTCCCCCAGCCCGAACAGACCACAAACTCATTTCTACTATTAGAAATTACAGCAATGAGTTTCAGTTATTGCCCATCTAGGTAGGGCTCAGCCCCACACCTATCCCTTAACAAGCCCCTTGAGCCATATTTAGCAGTCATGCAGGCCAATTTGTTGATGCTGGTAAGACTGTTCCTCCTAGACTGTCGTTCCCTTTCTTCTAAAACAAACATCTGTACCACTTCAGATTAGATCACCAAATATTTCTTTTTAAAATTGTTTAGCTCATGCAATTCTTAGAAATCTGAGTTTACAGATTCCTATTTTTTGATTTAGCACTTTGTGTAATTCTGACTTTTTTGGAACTTCATTTCCCTTAATATTCTGCAAGAAATCAACTACAACAGCTGCTGTGAAGTTATAAAAAGCAAGATGACTTTAATGAATAAAAATTCTTTAAATACATAGGAAAGACAAATGGAGCTCACAGGTCAGGGCAAACTACTACCTTCTTTAGGTGAGGGCTTCAGAGTCAAGATTAGCAAATCCACACTTCTAGAATTGCTTAGCATTACCCTCCCTCAGCCCCAAAAAAGATAAAAAAAGAATTTAAACAAGTACTAAACATTTGAACGAGGTGGAAAAGTCTCTAACTTTTCAAACGAATAATCATTTCTACACCTTAACATCAGACTGAAGAGAGTCGTTAAGAAAGCCAGCAAAATGTTATAAGGAAGATAAAATGTTTTCATGAACACATAATAATTTTGACTGCAGATTCATGCCAATGTTGCATAGGTTTCTCAAAACATTCACAGCTATTTCAAAAGAGAAGACAAATCAAAACAGCTATTTCTCTAATTTACAAAAGTTAACTTACATACCTAATTTCCCAGAATGTTTCTATAGGTGCATCAGGATTCCACAAGTCAATGCTGTCTAACTGGTGAAGAACTAGCAAGGCCTAAATTCAAAACAAAGTAGTTTCACTTAAAGGCAGAAATCTATAAAGTACCTCAGCATAGGCAGAGAAAGAGGTGCAACCACATAGTAATTACATTGTTTTAAAAACAACAAAAGATACAAAAAGCATTTTATATAGAAGAACAAGAGTTCATTGTTAGTCCATGTCAAAAGTATTTCATTTTAGTTTTTACTACATATTTATAACCCAAACCTAGAGGTTTTACCTCGTACATCCATACAAAACCATACTAGACACACAGGCACAATGTTTTTAAAAGATAGGTTTTGGCTTTAATATTTACTTAATGTCCAGCTGCAAAAAAATGAATGCAACCAATCCTACGGATATAAACTTCTAGTGGTAACAGCAAAATTTCTGCAGTTCAAGCTCTTTGCCAAGTCAGGACAGGCAAATACTTTGCTCTTTGTAACTATTCCCTGCACAAGCAAAAACTTCGGTAAGAATAGGTTCTGACCATATGTCGTGGTTTAACCTCAGTCAGCAACTGAGCACCACACAGCCACTCGCTCACTCCCCCACCCCCCCCATGGGATGGGGGAGAGAATTGGAAGAGTAAAAGTGAGAAAACTCGTGGGTTGAGATAAAAACAGTTTAATAATTGAAATAGAATAAAATACTAAGAATACTAATAAGAATAAGAAGAATATACAAAGCAAGTGATGCACGATGCAATTGCTCACCACCCGCCGACTGATCCCCAGCCAGTCCCTGAGCAGTGGCCCCGCCCCCTCCCAGCCAACTCCCCCCAGTTTTTTCTTCAGCATGATGTCATACGGTATGGAATGTCCCTTTGGCCAGTTTGGCTGTGCCCCCTCCCAGCTTCTTGTGCACCTCCAGCCTTCTCAGTCAGTAGAGCATGGGAAGCTGAAAAGTCCTTGACTAGTGTAAGCACCGCTTAGCAAACCAGCTGCTAGGAAGAAAATTAACTCTATCCCAGCCGAAACCAGGACACCATATCTAAGAACATACTGCTGAACTATGGCCAAAACTTTAATCTCTGCTTTGATTTAGTCAGATTAACTACAAAAATCTCAAAAATCAACTGCTTATAAATTAGCTGAAGACAATTTTCAGAAGAAAGACATCTCTAATAAAAATTAAACTGGTCAAAGGCCAGTTTGTTTATAAACAAACAGAAAATTATTGATTAGAAGTTGTTTATCCTTAATTATACCAAACAACTACAACAAACAAAATCTCTCCTCTTAAATCACCTGTTACTTGGGGTTGTCTGATATGCAGGCAAATAAATTTTCACTTTGGTGAAAACACAAGTTAAAGACAGAAATGAGGAAAGTCTTAGCTATTTTTCCTCATAAATTAAAAAAAAAGTTTGCTGCAAAGGGATTGCTATTAAAAATGGCATTTAAAAAAAAAAAACAACCCATACTGTTCTCCAACAACATTTAAGTAGTTATTTCAAATTGCTTCCTATTTTAAACAAATATTCCAGAACTTCTTTAGTAACCTACTAATCAAAAACAGACATGAGAGGCCAACCCTCAGCTAGTTAAGCCAACAGTCAGGTAGATTAGGGATTAAGATCAATAAAGAATCAAGGTTGAACAGTACACCAAAATTAAATTATGTAACGGCCAAAACTTTTCAATCTCTAAGTTCCTGTAAATGACAGTAAGGATGTTACCACCCAACATAAACTTCCCCAGAGACTTTCACACTGAAAAGGATTATTCTTATACAAGTAACGTCCTTGAATTCTACCATTAAACTATCAAGAAATATGTATTTCATATATTGATAGGTAGTAGTATATTGACACTATTTGTGGCAATTCTTGTTGAGGCAAGGTTTAACAAAAAGGTCTTAGTTTACCTATTAAAATTCAAATATTTATGTAAAGCTTTAATAGCATAGAGGTATAGTTAATCCTTTTTTCAGTCTACCTGTGAAAACCTAAAACATGAAAGACGTCAGTGAAGCACACACTCTACAGTGCACTTTTTAGAATGGGAATCGAAAGAAGGCAAGAAAATGTAACTGGCACCGTGGATTAAAAAAAATAAATAAAACTTTCTATTCTGTTATGCACAAGGAGAAGCTGAAGCCTGCTTTCATTGTATATGAATGTGCTCTGGAGACCCACCATAGTGAAAAACATACAAATGTTACAACTGAACTGGCAAAGACACAGAATCAGCAACTTTGCATGGAAAGGCTAAAAATCAGAATTAACTTTGGTGACGTTAGCTCCTTCAGTCAAAGCTGGCGGGAAGAAGATTTCAGTAGCCTTAAAGTATCCAATCCATCCCTCCCACACATACAACCTCCTCTGATTCACAACAGAAGGCAGGACCAGCCACCGCATTAGGCATTTTTCTCACAGCCATTTAGAAAACATAGAAGAGAAAGTGCAAGCTTAATAGTGCTCTCTGCAAAGATGGAACAGAGGAACTGTCAAACTGTATTTGATCAACACCAGGGATGAACAAACCATATCAAGAGATGCAGGGTAGTCACAAAAGGCAATATGAATTGCTTTTTAAAATTTTCTTATAGGCCTCTCTGTAAAACTTTCAGTGCAGGAGACATTTAGAAAAAGATCAATAGAGACCAAACTCCAAGACACAGAACTTCATAGCTAATCAATACTTCAGAGCTTCTACAAAAGCCTTGATTTGTCTGTGTACTAATCATTTGGCATAGAGAACATCTACCCCTTACCTCCATGGCTTCTTGTGCTATATCTGGCATGCTGGATTGCGGAACAAGTTGTACAAGGCCTGTAATTAATTCAGCCGTGCTACCTTGCGTCTCAGGCCCTTGCTTCCTTGGATTCTAAATAGCAAAAAGGAAAGCAAGTTTAAGTTGTATAACTTTTTAATGACTGACCATGTTACTGACCACTACAGGGGCACTCCTGAATTAAACTAGGGGGATTTCTGCATCTTTAAGAGAGTACCCCATTTCTTTTTAAGCTATAATACCCCTTGCATATCATATCTTTGACAGAATTGAAGTATTTTTAAATTAAACAATAAACAGACCTGAGAAAATGGAAGACCTAAGAGCGTATCTGTCTTTCTACTCATTGAAATGATGACTAATTTTCCCCCGCCTTATTTTAGTTTTCTTCTTGTTCTATTCCCCTCTCCTTCCCCCTCATAGGCCCTTCAGAGTTCCAGAGCTTTATGCTCCCTTGTTGCTCTAGTTCTGTAAAATGTCTTACAGTTTCTTTTTGGTTTTGTCCTTCTCCTTTGAAAGAACAGAAGCATTATCACCAGAGAAAAGAATGAGTAGGCAAGTATCCTAGATGCCAGGTTTTATGTTTTTAATTTTTATTCATTTAGTAGCTTCAAAAGTAAATTTTACTATGAATGAATAGTATGATATACTTACACACAGCAAAAGCTTTGGATCAGCATGGATCAGTTTTACCAAGGACAACAGCAAGAACTTGTAGCTTCTGGTTTCCAAATCAGTAGGTTTTTCTTTAAATTTAAGGCTTGTCATTTTCTCCTTAAATGTAAGACTCTGAGGGAAGGAAAAAAAATCAGTCATTTGTCAGTAAGGTAGTCTACATAGTAGTTACAATTAAACATCTTATCAAGTGTATTGCTTTTATAATCTATAATACATGAAAAAGTTTAAAAGTATATTAAGTTCACTCACGTACAGTTGCATAGCCTTCTACTTAAAAATCCCCTTTTACATATGCATATGCTATTACTTTATTACATCTTTAAAGTTTACTTAAGAATTGTTTTAGTGAGCTGCATGTGGACATAAGAAAAGTTTTTGCATAAGACAAACTGTGGCAAAAGAAAAATGGATAAAAAGGCTAATAAGGATTTAGAAAGATTTTCTCTGGTCTGAGAAAGAAATAAAAATAAATGTTTCCAAGTAAGCTTGAATACGTGAGAGGGTAGGGAATTTTTTTTCCAAAGGCAAAATATTCTCTTTATTTTCTGCCATAATCACAGTCCGGATGACAGCATTTTCATCTGTACAGCCTCCGAAAAATGCACCTTTCATTTTTCACAAGGTACACACTGCATCGCTTCAATTAAAAAAAAAAAAAAAAAATCTAGCTTTATCTGAAAAAACAGTAAACTCCTTCTGTACCAGTCAACTTCCTCATGTGAGATGGAGAACATTTTAAGATATGTATTGAGAGTTCACATACGGTATTCTGGTTTGACTCCAGCGTGAACTATATCATATTCTACCACTGCTGTTCACACAACAGAATCCAGGTAGCAGTATGACCAATACATTTAACAAATAGTCATACAGTGTTGGCTGTGAAGTAAGCGTATATGGATTGTACCGGTTATAAGGATTTCAAAAATTGAGTTTATGCTTCAATCCTATGGTGTGCACAACCCCCCAAAGTGAACCACCCTGTTGTATGGCAATCAACTGCAGTTTCTTCATCTCAACAAAAATAATTTGCATGCATACTAAAGTCTGTGAAAAATATGTGTGCATTTATATATAAACACACACATATATAAATATATATATAAAAAAAAGTGAACTTGTGTTAATTGGTCCCCAGTATGTCCAAAGACAAAAGACTTTCATCTCTCTCCAGTAAGTTGACAGAATTTATATGTTCATTAATTTTAATCTTATATCAGCAGGGATTAAATTAGTATTTTTGCTTACAGCTACCAAAATAGTTACAAGACAGTAACTTGGACAAAAATACTGCCATTGTGGATATTCAACACAAGACAGAATACAACACTCTTTAGTTAAACTGTTCTGTCTGGTTTATTATTTGCAAAGATCTCAAACAATAACATCAACTTGTTTTTCATTTTCACTAAACTTACAAGTTTTTAACAAAAAAAAAAACCTAGCTTGAAATCAAGGTAACTGAAGAAGAGTTATGACATTGTATAATTAAATTCCACAAGAAATTAGAACCTCATGCTATTTTGCTAAATAGTTAGTGCAAAAATATACAGAATAAAATCTACCACATAAAAAAGCATCTGATCAAGAAATTCGTACCACACTGGTAGAGGTTAACTAATTCTGCGCTAAACCTTAGTTCGCTACAGTTAAGGGAATTCTGAGAAGAGGCACATGGCAAAAGAAGCCGATTCATTTATGTGAAGCAATTTATTTACTTCACACAATCAAAGCTGAAGACTATTGATAAACAAAGACAGGGACACGACTGCTCTCTGCAAATACATCAAGGGGACAAACACTGGTTTGAAGCTATCGGACAACACTGGAACAAGAACAAATGAGGATAAGTTAAACAGAAATAAGTTTAGGCTGGAAATTAGAAAACAGTTCTAACCACCAGAGCAGGGAGATTCTGGAAGAGCATTGTGATGGAAAAGTAGGGGGCAGAAGGAAAAGAACAGAACCAACAAAAAGCCTTTCCTTCTAGGAAAGAGCTCAACTGGTTGCGAAAGGGATTGCCTCGCAATTGCCAAGCAGTGCTGAAGAGGTCTCCTCCAGCCCTACATTCTTACGTAAAACATGCTACCTCTTGCATCCCAGATGAAGCGACTGCAGTGGTAACTATGCACAGAAAAGTCAGAGCAAGGAAAGGCTTTTCTGCGGTAGTTACAATGGGTCATACTTACAGCAACAGAGGCCCACTGCCATGCAAAACAGTGACTGGTTGGCATCTGACCATGTGAGCGACAGCAGCCAATAAGAACGGAAAATAAGAAGCAGAAGACAAAGCACCACCAATCAATGTCAGAGTTGCCATTACAACACCCCTGCTATTTTCTCAACAGATGAATATATACATGTACAAAGCAAGTCAAACATGTAGCTTTCAACTAAAGGTATTTTGATCATTTGCTTTCATTTGAGAAGCCCAATAGGAGTATTTTCATGTATCATTTTAGGCCTTCTAAAACAACCAACCAAATTCACTTGACACATCAAAAGTCCTAAATGGAAAGTTCAGAAGAAAGGCAACGCAGCTGCATGTGAACTTACTAAAAAAATTTGGATGAACTACAAATTTGAATTTACTCAAGATTTTTTCCAAGACAACCAAGAATATTGACTTTATCTCATAATGGTTGAAAAATCTTTTACTTTGTTGCTGTCACCAAGACCAAACAGTCAACTTGCCCAACAGAAAGCAAGCAAGACAAATGAAGAGATACTCATGTCAATCATGGTAAAAGCATTGCAGTTTTCAGAAATTATCTTCACATATAGAATGCTTTTGTTTTTCAGATTGAACAAGAATGGACACATTACCTAGCTATTCACACAGCAAGAAAGCTTAAAATGAACAGTTAGCCACAGAGGACAGTTACAGAAGAAATACTTCTATGTTGCCAGTTTAAGAACAGCATGAAAACTGAGAAACATACATCACTGACTAGAAACAGTTAGTCAATACACCACCTGCAAGGTTTACAGAGCATGTATGGCTCTCTGTTGCTTTTTGGATTGCAATGTTCTTCCCCCCTCTAGTTTCCAGTCTAAAGTTAATGAATAAAAAAGCTGGAATGGAATGGAGACACGGGAAAAACAACGGGTTTGTGTTTTAACAGCTTCTTTAGAAGTCTTACTGGAGTCATGCGAACTGCTGGATGTGATCCACAGCCTTGAATAGCTTTATGAAGTGTCTCACTGAACATGCTGCGAAGCTCCATGGAATGGCAGTACACAGCATCGATCTTAGGCCACCAGTCCAACGCAGACTAGAATGAAAGCACAGAAATGCTCAAACAGTAAACTGGTAATATGTGAGTTAGATTATGATTTATTTTACACCTCTAAAAGTTACAAAAGCTGTAGTATAACTAAGCTTTACACATGAGTATTTTACAAAGTATTACTGATACGTTAATTTTGCATTCTCACCCTAAAACTCGTAGTATTTAAATGAGTTGTAACAGAAGCAGTACTTCCAACTTAGCTGCTTACTATATTACTCTTCTTTCTGAAAAAGCACAAACTCTGAAACCATGAACGCAGGAAACCATGGTAGATTTCAGGATACTGAATGCTAGTAATACTTCAAAACAAACAATGTGCACTCAATTCACTGTGATACACTAAACAAAATGGAAAACTGGTATTTTAAGTGCTTGATAATATCTGAAAAGCTGTATTACTCCACCAGATACACCACCACATCTACAGTAGCATTTTCGCCCCTATTGGTCAACCTGCTGAATACTTTATTTTAAAATATAGTGTTTTCATTATGATGTTGGGATAAATGAAATACAACATGTTATGCACATTAAGTAAGGCTGGTTGCTCAACACTGACTGATTCTATTTTCATACTGATCAGGAAAGTATTTCTAAACAGTATAAAAATTAAAGTCGTATTTTAGTGACTTAAAGTACAATAACTCATTTAAGATGAACAACTGCACAAACTTTCAAAATATTTTTGGCACTCAACATTTACTACAATTTTACACTATTAAATTCATATTGGATCAAATCCCTGAGCAAAGCCATGAGGCCAGCTCTTCCCCTAAGTTCCCAAGTCAATATACTACAAGTAGTAGAAGGTGGTGTAACAATGAACATCCTGAGAGTGTTTTTCATGTATCAATAAAGCAGTACCTATTATAAAACCAGAGAACGTAAGATTCATTTGTCGTCCTACATTAGAGGGTATTAAAACATATTTGTAATTAAATTTTATACTGGAATACAAGCTCTCAAACTGGGAATCCAACTGATGGACAGCGTGAACAAAGATTTGTATGTCGTTCCTTATTAGCAAGCAACTCTTGCTGCATGGATACAGGCAGCAAGATTTGGTCTACAATTCAAATTGTATTTAATAAGCAGATACTGATCTGAATAGAAGCCACAGATTGCTGGGCTGATAAAATACTTTCAGAACTTACATTTGTGATTATTCGGTGGAGCGAATTTACCAGTACATAATGAAATGTTGATGGGGAATTCTGTGCCAAGCAGATCTACAATAAAAATACATAAAAGCCACTTAGGAACATATTTTCCTTTGCCATCTTTCTTATCATGCTGAATAACATACTGGAGCCTTTTTATTAAATTGACAAAGCTGTCAAATCTAAACATGAGAAAGTCTAATCAGCTAAGAAAAGATTTATAAAAACATGCAGGGATTTATTACTAAGGGATATTTATACAGTTAAACTTATTTATGAGCTTCCAGCTGCTGTTAGCGCATCTTTCATAATTAACAGGTCATCAATAGCACATGGATAATGACTTACCAGTAAGTAGTGCTCTCACCTTAAAGTGTTGGTTATTATGAGGGTTTATGCGGAAGCAGGAAACTAAGCAGTCAATCATAAGGTCTACATCTGCATTTTGATTGCCTCTTGAAAAAGGTTTGCTTGGATTAAACAGCAAATTCTATATATTTCAAAAAAATATAAATATATAAATCAGATACCAAGATTATTCTTCTCTACTTTCAACATAAAACCTTCCACTGAAAAACACTATGGTCAATTAAGGAGAAATTCAAAGTTTATTTCAGTATTTTAAAATTGAAATTTCTTCATTGCAATTAGGAAACAGACATTTTTACCTTAAGATCTACTACCATGGACTGCACTAGTAGGAAAATGACAGAATTATCTTCCCAGTTGATGTAGGTAGATGCTTTGCACAGTTTAACACAAGCAATAGCAGCACTTTCAGTCAGCTGTCTGCTCCCACTGTGGCCTGCAAGTGCCTTCCTGAGATTGTCCAGGAACAGTTTCTGCAGAATTCAAATCAGGAATAGTTATAACCAGAGCTTTGGTAATCTGTGGTCAGGGTTTTTAGATCCTTAAATATTAAAAACAAACAACACTGCATTTTCTGATCAGAAATCATGGCTATTGGGATCGCAAAAACAACTCGATGCAGCATTCTGAAGAAACGTTATGACTATTAAAGACATTAATTTTGAACGATCTAGGACAATCCGAATGGCACAAACACAGATGGTTGTTTACTCTTAACCATGATGTTTGCAGCCACATGAAATTCAACATCTGCTACAGGTACTGCAGTTGTGGAACACGCAGTACACACACTGCAGAAGCCTAGGTCAGTACAATAAAGGCCAGCTAGAAGCAATGCTAAGTTTGCTACTGGTGGAGGCAGGGGAAATCGCAACACTAGGATTCAAATCTCCAAGGAGATGTAAAAGTTCTGAAATATCATTGTTTGGGACATACTATCTGTATGAATTATTGACAGTGAAAGAACATATGTTAGGTGAGAACTTAAAAAGGGTGCAGAAATTTACATATGGAATTGTAATGTGCTTTTTAGGCAGGAAAGACAAAATAAAATATACCTGAAATATAGAATAAGCAAAGACAAGCATCCTCTAGAAATCAGAACCAGAATTCAGACACTTTTCTTCTCTTACCTTGTTCATTTTAGTTTCTTCTACCACATCCTTTGCTATATCTTGGATTATCTCTGGACACAGGACCAGGAGTATGATTTGCAGTGGCCAAACTGCTGCTTTACGTTTTGTGCTTTCAGCAAAGCCATCCACTAAGTCAAACAACTTCTCTGCACAATCTGCATAAAATATAACCCCAAGTTCAATACCAATTTTAATTATGAAAAGGTAAAGAATAGGTATAAAAGAGCAGAGGGATAGCTCCACCTACACAGAAAAAAGTTCTGTTTTGCACATTACTGGGGATAAAATGGTCTCAACCAAGTTAAAGCCATGGTTTACCTGAAAATATAAATTTTCCTCTCTCTTTGACTAGAGACAAATACAGGTGGTGTTCTCTTAAGTTGTTTTTTTTTTTTCCCTGTATCAAGATGAAAAATATGTATTTAAGGAGTTTCCATCTTTTGGGTTTTATTTCTTTGTGTTGTGAACCACAAAATGAATCTTTAAAAGGTGAGTCAGGAGAGAAAAGAGATAGCAATATATCCTTGCCCTGACAAAGTCTGACAGAAATTTGTTTCTTATTTGCAGGCTACACAAGAAGCAAAGGTTTTTTTTTCCCTGTATCAAGATGAAAAATATGTATTTAAGGAGTTTCCATCTTTTGGGTTTTATTTCTTTGTGTTGTGAACCACAAAATGAATCTTTAAAAGGTGAGTCAGGAGAGAAAAGAGATAGCAATATATCCTTGCCCTGACAAAGTCTGACAGAAATTTGTTTCTTATTTGCAGGCTACACAAGAAGCAAAGAGGGCATAAAATGCAAGTAAATGTAGTGATGCCTGAGAAACCAACTTTTGAACACTGTCATTTGTTATGCCTTACCAGCCATATCAGTCTGTGGTGTTTGATACAGCTTTGTGAATTCATCAGGATAGTTTTCCACCCAGTTCCAAAATGCCTGCAGATAATGCAAAACATCTTTACATTCCAGAGTTTAAAAATATTTTTTCTGAATATATTCATGTATTCAAATGAAGAGAGATTTTACTATTACTTCTAATCACTCGACATTTCTTGCAAAACATATATGCAAAGGGATGCACCAACATATATTTTATAGTAAATTACTGAATTGCAACTATTCCTAAATTAGATAAAGTCTGCAAATAAGCAATGAAACAGAAGATAAATATTAAAATACTTACCTTTTCAACACTGTTGATAACTGCTAACTGAGCTACTTTCTTAAGGGCTTTAAACTTGAATACAGTCTCTGTAAAGGGAAAAACATTCTGCATTTAGAAAAGAAACTTGGTTCTAAAAAGCAACACAGATTATAAAAGACATTTGAAGTGCAAAGCAAATTTTAAACCAGTGTCTTTATGCTACTTAAGTATTTTTAAATATTTTGGTAATGACTATTTGGAGTAAAACACAGCAATAGAAAGATATATATCAATACCTTGTGTCATCTCTAACTAGCCATATTCAGGTAAAAATATTCCAAAACACAGGCTCAAATCATACCTTGCAAGAGTCGTTTTAGTTTTGAACAATCCACACTGATGTACTGTAAAAGTTCAATATCATGAACATCAGCATTATCTTCTGAACAAACAGTCAGTTCCTGTAATCTAAAAATATGCAAAGTAAACCAACTTCTCAATCAGATTATGTCCGATAGGTATGAACACATACCTATGACTCTATACATTTGAATAGCAGGGGAATATTATATGATCTCCTCATATAATACGATCTCCTCAGATAAACTTTTTCAGGTTTAGAAATGAAAGACAGACCTTGCATGATTAAGAGTTAATATTACAGTCTTATTCCACACTCATACTGAAAATGGATCTAGAAATACTAGTGATGAGTCTTACAGGATACCAATACCATCTGGTGATAGTCTGTTTATGCCCAAGATTAGCCTAAATCCTTCTGTTATCTACCATACTCTAGCAGTAATCTTGTCATCTTTTCATCTAAATATTAAATTTATGGAATCATGACACCTTTAGACTGCTCCTTAACAGCAAGTCTTGCCCCAGCTAATTTCAAGAGTAAAGCAGTGACTGATGGTACTTAATATCGCCGAAGAGAGCTGCAACCACTCTGTAAGCTAAAGAAGGTCCATGTTTTTCTGGTCTAAAGAAACAAGATGAAGTTTAATCACACCATTTTAAACACAACGGCATCTTTTCACTCTTTTGTGTTAGATGATTTACTAAACATCTCATCAGATACGAAGCCACTAATAACTAAATCATATGTTCTCATGAGCTAAAGATTGCCATGTCTTATTCCAAAGCTACAGATGTGTTTTAGGCATGGAATGTGATTTCTAGTACTACACACAAAAGCAGTTCTTCATTTCTTCAACGCCAGGGAAACTTAACAGCCCTCGCTGGGAATGGGAAGGTCCCCACTGCTGTGCTTTTCGTGCCAAAAATCCCCCAGCTGCTGTACAAGGCCTAGAAATATGCCTAAACAGGAAGCACAGGTCAAAAGAGCAGCAATGCTAACTGTCGGCAAGCTGACCCCTGTGGAGATCAGCAACAACTGGTCAAATATTTAACTATTTATGTACAAGCCATCTTGAAGTGAAAAACAGGTTAGGGAAAAAGCACTATGTTCCAGCTCAAATGGATGGTAAGAAGGGCTTTGGAGCTTGAGAACTAAGCCATGCTACAGACATATGAATAAATATAGATCCATGGACTAGATTCAAAGACTCTCAAAAAATCCTTCCTATAAAAGGAGCAAAAGAAATTGTTTCCATTTCCATAAGCAACAAAACATAATCAACCTATTGAGTAAAACCACATCCTCCACGCTAGCTGCCAAGTCTATGTTCTTGAAACAGAAGTTATTTAAGGGTCTGTAAAAGTTTTTAAAATACTTAAAATTTGAAATCATTAAATAATTTTAGACTGATTTCTAAAATGCAAGTATTTTCCAAAATGTTGGAATGGAATTGTTTTTACATTATAAGGAATATATAAATCTTTGTTTCAATTAAATTGGCACACTCATTTCTATGCGACCACATAAGGCTGCCCAAGCTCCACTTCTGATAAATCAAGGATGATGTTAGCTGTGACAATGTGTGATAAGAGCTAAGCTATTTCAAGCAACTTTCAAAAAACATCAAAGTAGTTCAGTAACAAAAAGCTTAATACACAACTCTAGTGGACTGGCAAAAGCTGAAGCAACAGAAAGACATGGAACAGGGCGAAAAGAGCAAAGAATAGATGGAAACATTGGGTCTGTCTCTCTTCTCACTTAGAATAGCAGAAAAGGCAGCTATTTTTACAGTAAACGTGCTGTGAAGCTCAAGTCAGTCAGAAGACAAATGGGTGTTTTCCAACTAACAAACAGTCCAGCTGTTTTGTCCCCTTCAGGCATAAGATACATTTAACACAAAAGCCTTCAAGCAGGAAAAATTAGGAAGGAAAACAGCCTGGGGGCTCCAACAGAGCTGTAGACAATCAGAAATTTTGCATTCTAAATTCATAAGTAAATGGATACAAGCCATTATCTTCAGCATCCTTTTTTTTTTCCAAAACATCTTGCACTCACAGGAACTTATTCAACTTATTCAGCTGAGTTGTTATTTTCACTCTACAACAGCATTTGACTTGTACTTATGAAGGCAGATTAAAAAGAGCAATAAATGCAGCTCACAGAAAATATGCTGGCAGTAACCTAGAATGGATATGAAACAGGTTCATTTTGTAACCTGAAACTCAAGTAAAATTTTGAAAGGTAGAGGGAGTTTCACTTAAGAACTATCTTGTTAAATATCATTTAAACAGTTAACTTTTCTGAAATTAGAAAGACTACAATTCGTGACATGTTCTAGACACCAATATTTAGTAGATCTTCTAATACACTACATCAGGCTACTGAAAAAACACCCACCTGGTGGAAATGCGGCTGAACACAGCATTAAAGTTATTGCAGCTAAGAGAAAAAAGAACCCCAGAGGCAGAATTTCGTAGTTCAGCTGCATGCTGGTTCCCTTCACGGTAAGTGTGGATGAAGTGGCAGATTTCTGGCAGCAACTGTTTTACCAGCATAGTCTCGTCTAGTCGCATGGTATCCTTTGGTTGCTAAAAATAAACATTCAGTATTTCATGAAATTCCGTTTTGTAGGTTTGGAGGCAAAAAAAATGGAGCATCTGCCACTAGTAGGCACAGGACCTGAATCTGAACTTCTAATTCTGCCTGCAGGCTACCACTGACCATACTGTAAGTAGTCTACACAGAAAAGGCTTCTTTCCATTTGAACAATAACCCATATCATTCAAACCATCTTACATTTTCAGTTAAGTCTCCAAAATATGTAGCACACCAAGTCGACCAATGTCACCAAGTATCAAGCAAAATATCAAACTAGTTTTTGAAGTAAAACACACTTCTGTTTTGATGAATGCACCCTGTTGATCTGTGTAAAGTGTAAGCAGTAGAGCATTAACTATCTCAGCTTTGAATGGAAGCTCAAAGGGCAAAGACCCCCCCCTTACTTCTCTTCTGGCTAGTATTCTAACCGCTATATTTTGACAGCAAATATTTTATAGAAAAAAATGAACCAAAAAAGAGGTGCTTCTCCCTTGCCTGGGATTGCTTTATACAAGTCAAAAATGGCTTAACTTTCCTGCAGAAGAAAAATCTAATTTTTGCCAGTTTGCACAGTATGAGACATAAGGAAACTATTTATGCAAGAATTCAAAGTGAAACTTTGCTCTACTAAGAGCAAGTTTTAACAGAAGGGTCAGCATTAAAGCTTTCTAAAATTCTACCAATGAATATACCATAGGGAATTGGGAAGTTTCAGAGACTCCCACTTAGTTGACCTGAGTCCTGTTGCCATGAGAACTTGATGAAACATTGAGCAAGAACAGCAAGCAAGAAATATGTCTGAAGATATCACAGAACACAACACTCTTTGTATAGAACTTTGGCTCAGTCTTATTAAACATATACTGGCTCAACTTGCTCTCATTTGAACTGACAAAGCAAGAAGTATTCAGCACAATTTTAACTTTGGCTGTCTTATTAAACATATACTGGCTCAACTTGCTCTCATTTGAACTGACAAAGCAAGAAGTATATAGCACAATTTTAGGCTGTTCAAATATCATCATCTATCAGGAAAAAACCACTAACATTTCAAACAATATATATATATATATATAAAAGAAATATTTTAAAATAATTAATTTCCAAAGTTAAAACAGTTTTTTTGACTCACTGCATCAAAGACACAGAAAGTGCCAAAAAGGGGTATTTACCTCAGCTGTAAAAGCTGAAAATTATTCTGGAAAATGTATTTACCTGGATCTTTTGTGAATTTAGAAGAATCCACAATTATTCAGACTGTTTTAGTACTGTAATATAAGATATGCCGCTTGACAAATCTAACCATAATAAGGTCATTACCTTATAAAGAAAGAACCTTCAAAAACTGTTGCAGGGAAACAGCAAAGAGCTTAGATGATTTCATGACATTCATCCAGGAATACAGCTTTAAAAAAAAAATTCCTTTCTTGTTAAAGGAATAAACCATTGCAAATTTTGCTCACAGTGAAGTTTGGCTTTGCAATTACACAGTTTAGCACAGTAAGTTGTACAACATTTACATCCCAAAGGTAATAGCAAACTGCCTTGCAGCACAGCTCTGACTGGAAACCTCGGGACTGGACTCCCAGTGGAAGTTTGGACATGGTTAACCAATATAATCTAGGAAACACCTGCAAAAGTAATCTTTAGAATAGTGATAGCAAAGTTTCTGCTGTATATACAAGTACATGAAACTACTTCACCAAATGAAAGTCTTAAGAAATTTAAAGAAAAATCAACACTGTATGCAGAAAACTTACTAGCATAAAACTTAAAATACTTGTACTGAATTATCTGCTACTTTTAACATGATTTACTATCCCATTACTTTTTCGGTTTAAATTGTGGGATAAAAATGTTTGCATGCATCTATTCAAAAACTACTGAGCAGAATATGCCACAAGCATTCAAAGCTTATAAAAAATCTAGCGAAGCTTCATAACCACATCTAATTCTTCATTTGGGTTTGTGTCTTCCCTTACTCCAGTTCACACGTGTGTCTGAGTGCAGTTGTCTGCAATTCTTTTTACAAATTATTAAAAGAAAATTATTATTTATAACTCAGCAAATTAGTTGAGTAGTGGGAAGGACAAATTCAAAAGTGTACTTGAATCTGTATAGCTGAAAAAAAAAAATCACTAATTTCAGGCAAGAAAAAAGCACCCCACAAATCCTTAATTTATCAGCTATATCAACTACTTGCATTTATAGGAAGTTTTACTATTTTTTTAAACGGCATTAATCTTACTTTGCTCTAAATCAGATGAGTTTTAACTTTAGTACCAGTAATAATAGATACACAAGCATTTGACTTGTACTCTCTAACTTATTTGATTCCAACTCAGCAATTGCTTATGCAAGCCTACTCACCCCTGCCAGACATTTTTCCAGTGTATCCAAGATAATCAGCTGAGATAGATATAAATTCTTTTCAGCAGTTTCTCCAAATATTCTCTAGAAGTAGAAAGGATATGGATTCATCCGAGACACGGAAATTTGACTTGTAACGCATTGAAGTAATGTAGCAAAGTAGCACAATAAGTTATGGCTCCTTTACTGCTCTGGTTTTGAGTTTAGAAATAAAGCCAGCAAAAATTAGATTAAAATAGGAATTAAAACCTTATTGCTGAAGAAGTATCTTTGTCTAGTCTGCAATGCCAAATCTAATAAGGAACAAACAGTTACCGCAAAGTAACACTGGAGGTACACTGCAGCCCCTTACCTTCATCAGGCCTATAATTTATTCAGAAATGAAGGTTATACCTTTTCAGAAACTATTTTGGTATCAATTACTGCTGAGTCTTTTCCGATTATGTATTTCATTGCCAACATCTTAATAGAACTGATGTTACAACAAATCCGTATCGACAAGCTTATTAGAGTGTTGCAAAATTTAGCACAGACCACAGGAAGAAACACGAGACCCTCCAAAAATATGCCACACTTCAGATACAGGATGAAGGCGGAATTCCATCGGGTGTTTAAGCTAGCACCCAATTTTACTGCCAACAATAGTGACTAGTTCCAGCAATATTAAGACATCAAAATAAAGCAGAAAAGATTTAGCCAAAAATATATTGGTACTATTGCCTACACGTGGAACACATGTAGAAGTCACCCAAAAGAAGTTATATTTTAAACCACGTGAGAGGTTAGCTCAACTAAGTCTAAGTTTCAGCAGAGTCCAAACCCTGAAGACTTTTTCTAAATGTAAGACCATTATGACAGTCTATTGGTCTGTTTTGTTTCAGCTACAGAAATCCTTCAGAAATATTGCTGATTCATACAGTAGCTCAGTCCATCAAACATAAAAAATGTAAGTCTTGCTCCTCAGGGCAAAGCAAATGTTGACTTTTTTTATTGACATTTTTAGCTAGGTCTTTCCTCTCAAAATCTATATATCATATACAGAAACTTGTTTTATCTGTGTAGTTTTCTCATTTATCAGACGATCATCTTACACATCAACACATTCCTTCATGCCTATGGAGTTTAATTAAAATAAATTCTCTCTCAGAAGGGATTACAGGTAGCTTTAAGCAGCCTAAAATCCCTAGCAGTAGGGCAACCTATTTTCTGATTTTAACAATCCTTTGTAGTGTTTTAGCAGATGTGCATCTCTATACAACTGGCATCCAAAAGAGCTCACTGCAAACTATCTTATTAAAACCATAAAAAAAAAAGTACTGCTAGAGTTTGGCCAGTTCTGTTACCTGTTCGTGGAGATTCTGCGTGATCACAAATCACACAACTTCAAAACTCAATGAACTAAACTTTTCTCATGACAAATCCAAAACCAGACCTTCATAAAAAAAAAAAAATCCAACTGCGTCTTTCTCCTCATAAAGGATTCCTAAACTTTCCATTTACCCAACTCTATGGTAAGAATTATTTTTCTAGAGGCAACACACTATGGACATCCACATTTTTTCCTTCTACGTTTCTCTTCTCTTTGGTTCCACTGAGATCTATTTTAAAAGACAGTTTCAGTGATGCTGATGAGTCAAATATTTTGATGGATTTCAGGAATCATTTTATGGTTCCCTTGGAGGCAGAACAAAAAAACAGTACGCAAAAGGAAACCATCTACTAAGACACCTGGCTCTAAAGATTTCTCTTTGGGAACCCGCAGAAAAATCACCTTGAACCTCATCCCTTCACACCAGTGTACTGCCCTCAAGTACCAACATTAAGTGGTTTAATGAGAGGCTGTGATCCATATCAAACAGTAAATGGAAGAGATGTGTATCACTCCCACACATTTTTCATTCACTTTTTCTTACTGATAGTAAGGTATCCCTTTGGAGGTATGAGTCTATAGTGGCAGTATTAGACAAGAGATTGTTTTTGAAGATTTTTCTTACAGGGTTCCAACTGAAATTCATCTGGCTGTTAAAATATTTATATATTTTACATACACACACACAAATGCTAAAACATCCAAACAGCCTGGAAAATTCAAATAGCCTAAGTTTTAAATCCTTTTCCCTTCTTCCTTTCCCAAAACGATTCCTGGCAGATCATGCTCTGGCAGGACAGATGAGGGGAGAAAAAAAAAACCTCCTAGTGCTGCTGCTCAGCAGCTCCTTTGCCTTACTGCATTCCTCCTCTATAGACTTTGCTAGCACTGCCTCCCTAGCTAAGTGAAGGGGATGGAAAACATCCTCCCCCACCTTCTAACAAGTAGCGCATTCTACTGGTATCTGAACATTGCTGAGAGACCCAATGTAGCATTAGGTACCTTTATGTACCCACTCCTTAGCTAGCCACATACCTTCTCAGCTACAGACTGTTCCCATGACTAACAGAAGATTCCCCTTAATCACCACCTTCCTTTAGATTTCTCTGCCACAACTATCTCATCGCTTTTATATGTAACACAGCTCAGTGCTGTTAGTGAACTTTAGCACATGAGGATGAAAAGAAAAAAATTAAGTGTAAAAGGCAAGCAACAATTTGACTAAATTTCAAGTGACTCTCTGCAGATTGTGTAATATGAATAAATAACAACCATTTTGAAAAATCACCCAACAACCCAAAATTAGAAAACTTACCATGTTATTAACATTTTTTAAGATATTAGTGAGACCACTGATGACCAGGGAAAACTTGTACTTGGAAATGTTTATGAGACATTCCTTGTTGTGCTCCGTACTGACTTTGGTGTGGGTATTCTGCTGGCCAGCCTTTATTGGAAGCTACAAAGAGAGATAAGCATTATAAGTTTTTACATTGAAAGTTACGTCTTTAAAGATGGCTTAAAAATTTTTGAGACACCAGAAACAACCTTGAAAAAACATTCTAAAAGAGACAACTACAAACACATTATCTCATTTTCTCTACATTCATCTTTCTACTAGTTATCTATAAAACAAAATACTGAAGTTCACCTATTCCTTTTTCTGAACTGAAACTAAACCTCTATTTTGTGATAGTTTCTACAAACCAAATGTCAAAGCAATCAAAAGGAGCAGAAAAATGTGAGTAAGAGAGAATTCTGAGAAGAAAAGTTTCCTTATTTCAAAAATTGGCTCGTTAAATACCAAAAATCTTCACAAGGCTAATACCTGCAAGAAAAAAACCTGCATCTTGAAACCTGAGAGGAAGTAAAATCACAGTAGCTCACAAAGCAGGTGAGTTGGAAGGTGGTAACAGTGGTTCCACGTGTGTCCTCTACTCCTTCACAGGACAGAACTGGCCAAGAGGTACAACCGAGTCCCAGAAAAAACCACCACCGACAGCCGCCGCAGGCCCTAGGGACTTGGGTTACTTAAGGGTTCCCACACAAACACACCCCACCGCTAGCCAGGTGATGAAGTCTCAGCCTCAAACACGCTTCAAGCACTCGCGAGCCAAATACAACTTGTGAGCCCCACATTACCTATCCTTGCCCAACATCCAGTGGTAAAAACTAGACTTGAAATGCATCTTTTCCAGGAAAGATAAGATTCAGAGTGACTGCACAAAACTGAGATGTTTCTCCTACTGGGTGAACACTAGGCACTTTGTTTCATGCTGTACCCAAATTCTTCAAGGGTCACAAACGAGTCACTTCCCAAGCACGCACTCACTTCCCCTGCACGCTCCTCACTGGAGTCGGCCCGTTAGGAACCACCACGTGAAAATGTGAGAAGCCACTCATCGGAAAAATTCATTTTACTGAGGATTTTTATTTTTAAAAAGCAAACAAGTGTGGGAACAAAAAAGGAACCAGTATTATCACCTCTTTTTATAATTCACATGTGCCATTTGTGTTTTAAAGCGTGACCTAGGAATTCACTATCTATAGAAACTTTAATTGCTACTACAAGTTTTAACCAATTTTGACTAGAATTCTTGAGAAACGTGTATTCTGAAAGACACTGATAGCTCAAAGTAAATGCCACAATATAATATTTTTGCATTTGAAAGGGTATCTTTAAAAAAAAAAAAAAAAAAAAAAAAAAAAAAAAACAGAGAGAGAGAGAATTTAAGAGAGGTTAAAAGAAGGATTCCAAGGAATTACAATCAACTTCACAGCTGCAAATTGCTTAAAGAGCAACCTTCCAGGCTGGGGGCCTCGGCAGACTTGGTGAGGGTACTTCCCATACTGTCATCCAGTTAAACTGCTGTCAGCAGTCACGAACGTCTCTGCCAACCATTTAACATTACCATCTTTGTTGATAAAAGTTTAAAGGCCCATATTTAAAATGCTAGATGAATTGTATTAAAGAACCCCAAACTTGGAGCATTTTTTTTTTCAACAGTTTTGACTGCATCATTAAATGCAGTCTACTTAACATTGACATCTTCCATTTGTAGGGAAATGGACCTCTTTAACAGACTGTCTAGTTGTTATGCCCAAGTGTAATTTCCTCTCCATATAAATGGTGGTTTGGGTTTTAAGTATCAGTTCTTTTGGTACCACAGACCAGGATCACATTGGAAATTGGCTGGGTTTTTTCTTAAAGAATGGTTGACACTTATTTAAAAAAAAATGACTGAACTGCCATGCTAGATCACACCAAAGACCCAACAGCAACAGAAAGGTCCATGAGGAATGCTTGCTTTTGATTCAGACAGTGGCTTAGGGATCACTGGCACCAAGCGTTGCATCCAGGGAACCACACTAGAAGACTACCCCTCCATAAGAAGGTCTGATGCTTTTCACCTGCGCAACCTCCTATAGCAACAAGTTCCATAGGGCAGTCAAGGTAATTTCCACCTCATTTTGTAATTCCCTTGCAAGTGTTCAGATCGTAATGCTTTAAAACAGTGCGATGCATTTCAATGCGCTCATTTTAAAACTGGAAAAAGCAGAACAAACAGCATTTATGACTCAAGCTTTGTTTTCATTGTTGGATGTTATTTTTACAATACATTTTTGGAAGTCATTAGTGGAAGATAGATACATTTAATTAAAAATTTCACCATTACTAGTACTTTTTATTTGAATTTTCAAGTCTCCGTGCTGACAACAACAGAAAAGCTCAATACCACTGAGTGACAAAACACTTCAGAAGTGCCTCTCAAAGAAATTGTGTCATAGATCTAGTTCTGTAGGCTTCCACACTATAGAAACATCATATTACACACTTTTGGAGCTTCCTGCCACAACAGCCATTGCAACAAGGTCACCTAGAAGTAAAACTGCTTTTTATACTACCATTTAAAATAGGAAACTATATAAAAATGAAATATTAGCACTGTTGTTTTGGGTATTTTTATTTCTCAGCTATTTCCTTTGTGCACTCTGACATGCTGGAGCATTATATATCCCCTAATGGAATGCAGTGCCAGTGCTGAGTGACCAAAAAGAAACTATTTAACTTCTATACAAATATTGATCAATCTAAACATTACAAGAAAAAAAGAAGGAAAAGAAAAAAAAAGTTGAAATTTTACTTTCATTGCCTTTGATTTTATTTTAGGAAAAAGAAAGACTGACACAAATGGTTTCCTGTAGAGCTTTTAGTTGAATTAGAAACAGAAATTAAAGCACAAAGCTTAAATATAACTGGAGCTTCAAACTATGAACACACGCACCATTTTGAACTCATCCCAGTTTAGCAAACTACTCCAATTCAGCTTTTTTCACTGTTGAAATAGGAAGCAATAGTCAACAACCTTGTAACTACATTGGTGCATGTACAACCCACACTGAGGCATGCTGCCATATACCCTCTCTCTCTCTAATCCAGTTTGACTACATCTCCTTAAGGTGTCACATAAGCTACAGAGGACGGGGAACAATGGCATTTTGGTCTATAATGTGCCTTATTTTATGCAGTGGACAAAGACAAAATAGGTAGATGAAATCTGCAGTCTTTCCAACTATCAAATTTTAAATCTTTTAAGATCAATTTAAAAAGAACATTGCTGCAAAAGACAAGGAAAAGCCATTAAGTAGCTGAGCCTGACAGTTGCAATAATACAGTACAAGACCCAGTGTATCCTGAATTCAGGATACAAGTCATCTTGCATATCAGGTATCACTGAAACAAATAGAAAAGCAAATCTGTAAGATGAAGCATCCAACTATCTACCAGCTTACACCAGCCATGCAAGCTCCCTAGTTGTTAAAACACATCTTTCAACCACATAAACAGTTTAAGACAAGCTTTGTTTCTAGAAATGCATTTCTGACTTCAATTTAAGAAGCCCTGCTGACGTATCTACAGCTTCTCCCAAATCTGCTACTGATACAATACTGAAACGGAACCATTCTCACAAGGTTTACTGAATGCAAAGAGATAACAAAGCACTGTCAGTAGGAGAAAAAGCAACACAGATCATATGAGATTATTATTTTCTTTACATTTCCAAAAGGTATATCACAATAACAGGTAAACCTTAGAAATGGAGATCTGAACCACATACCCTCAAGAAGACAGGATTGTTAAGACTAATCCAGCTGAATTAGTGGCTATTAAAAGATCTTTGTTTTTTTAAAACAGTATTTGTTACCCAAAAGATGCAAATTCCTCTCTCAACCTGCAAAGTAAAACTAAATTCTACCATCTTCATGAAAAATTTCAATTAAATCACTAATCACAAATATTATTAAAAAATAATATCATTTAAGAAAAAAAAGGTGACTAGGCCAACCCAGATACACAGAATCATAGCACATGGTCAGCTGCTAGCATCTGAGAAAATAATACTAAAACAGCACTTCAAAAGCTTTTTCAACACACAGGTTTGGCATCTGAAAAATTACTGCCCCTAAGGATTAATATGGCATATGTTATTAACCATTCTACAATGGTGTCTGGCGGCCGCAAGTCGTCTGGTCAGTTTTCTCTCTACAGTGATATCCGGGAGGTCTGTAATCCTGCTGAAGAGAGAAAATGCAAAGGTTTTCCTATGCCTAATCACTCTTACCTATCTGTTTCTGGAGATAAAAGCGTTTCAGTCTCTTCAGACTTGTGAGACAATAACTTTGCCAACTTAAAATAAAACAAACAAACAAACAAACAAAAAACCCCACGCAAGTACTTGGCATATTCCAGAGAAAAAAAGAAAAAAAGATTTAATGTGCATTCTTAACAAGAACTTTATGGTCAAATTGTAAAAACTGGCTTTGAAACTTTAAAGTAAGTGCTACTACAGAATTGAAAAGCTGTTTAAAAAGTAGATAGCATTGTGGTATCTGATAGCATGCAAGACTGTCATCTCTTTGGAAGTGGCCTCAGTTTAGAGACTGATGTACTTTTATCCAAAAATGTTCAGTTAAGGAATCCTTCTTTGATCGTAGATGTTAATTATTAAGAAAAATGGGTATTTTCCATGTCGGTAGAAGAAATTAGCACCCATTTCAGGCATTCTCTAGTCTGATGCAATAAGGTACAGTCTTTTGCTAAACGTACATGGACATTGATTTGAAACTAACAACACTAATAGGCTTGAATGTCTGTCAAATATTCCACTCAGTCTGTTGAGAAAGGCTAACATTAAGCCATGGATTTTTTCCTTTATCACCTGCAATTAATGAACACAAAGTTTAATCATCTCTATTTAGTAAAAGACTGTACTTAATGTTCTTATTTTCAGAGGTTATGGAGCAAGTGTAAGTGCTTTATCACTTCAAACAAAGTCACTATTTCAACTTTTTTGTGCAAGATACAACTTTGCAGAACATTAAGAATTCAAAATCTAACAGATAAACCTAGTCTGCCACAGGATTCAGAATGACAGCTGTTGGAATCACTATCCTG